CGGATGATGAGGATATCGTGGGTAGAAAAGGTTAGAAATGAAGAGGTATTGGAAAGAATAGGAGAACAGAGGACTCTATGGAAGTCAATAAAAAATAGGCGAGATAGGTTGGTAGGACACCTTCTCAGGCATGAAGGTATAGTCAGAGACATTTTAGGGGCAGAAACAGGAGTTAGGAGGGGTAGAAGTAGACCCAGATTAGATTACTGTTCGGAAATGGTTAAGGATGTGGGCTGTTCTAGTTTTAGAGAAATGCGAAGTTTAGCTCAGGATAGGAAAGAGTGGAGGTACGTGTCCAACTAGTCATAGGACTGACGATCTTATGATGATGATGATGTCAGACTAACAATAAGTCCTGGGGGGCTTCCAAATTTCTGAAAGTCTTTTTTAATGAAGTTCCAAGCAAGGCCAAATTACGTTCATAAGGAGTCAGGATATAAAGCAGAGGATAGCGCAGGATCGAGTCTTAAATAAGAAGAAATCACTTCTTCGCGAACAGTTAATTTAGAAATTCGAAAAAGATTGTTAAAGGTGTATGTTTGGAACGCGGCACTGTACGAATGCGAAACATGGACGGTGGGTGCTGCGGAAAAGAAAAGGTTAGAAGCGTTCGAAATGTGGTGTTACAGGCGAATTATGAGAATACTGTAGATAGGGAAGGTTAGAAATGAAGAGGTATTCGAAAGAATAGGAGAACAGAGGACTCTACGGAAGTCAAATTGAGAAATAGGCGAGATAGGTTAGTAGGACACCTTCTCAGGTATGAAGGTCTAGTCAGAGACATATTAGAGGCAGAAAAGGGAGTTAGGAGGAGTAGAGGTAGACCTAGATTAGATTACTGTTCGCAAATAGTTAAAGAAGTGGGTTGTTCTAGTTTTACGGAAATGCCAAGATTAGCTCAGGATAGGAAAGAGTGGAGGTGTGTGTCTAACCAGTTGTAGGACTGACAACCTTATGATGATGATGATCCTTCCATTCTGAATTATCTGACTTTTTAGATACCTAAAATCAGCGACTTCTTCTAATTGTTCGTCACTGTTATATGAATCAAACAAAATGAAACACAGGAATTGCAGAAAATGTTGTGTTTTTTTATTCTATATCAAACTTTTTGTTTGTAAATGCACAAAAACCAGAAAATACAATTTTCAAAGATTCCCTTTTACTCTATAGTTTCTTTTCAGAAATATAAACATAATACATTCGAAATGCAAAATTAAATTACGATTAGAAAGACAGACATTATATAAAGCAATAACAACTATTTTCCTTTTACAATGGCTTAATTTTCCCTAAGAAATCAAAAGTGCCGCTTATATAGATGGGGAAAGGTAATAATAGCAACTGTGCCGTATTAAATTACAATGAATAGAAGCAATTGGAAAGATTCAGTCGTTGATTTATTTTCTTTTGTCGTATAATTTAAAAAGAAGAAGCTAGAAGAGCTCGGTTAAGTGCGGATTTAACGGCCAATAGGGAAAATTTACTCCAGAGCATTTTCCGACCACTAAATCACTGCCATATAACGGCTGGACATGATTTTCATATTACGTCGAGTGCGTTTTGACATGGATTAAGTGGATTGCCCTCGCTTATAAAATTTACGTGATGAACTCGACCACAATAGATATTATTTAACTGGTTTATATGTAACCCACACAACAATAAAACTAACAATTTCTATATTAAAACAAATACTTAGTAAAAGTCATCACTGAAATCTCACATATCAAATAATTTAATTTATTATGCAATACGTGGATCTTGGACATTTGGGTCCCATCAATAAGCTTTACAAAACACAAAAGGCAAACTATAAATTTCCTAAAACAATTCAATTTTTACAATAAGTGCATAGTTGAACCACTGTAAAGTGCGAAATTTCACTCGTCCAAATTTGAAAATTAATTAAAATTGACGTGAAATTACAAATTATTTCCTTGGTTAACCCAAAAAGCCATTTTCATCAAAGCACATATCATTTTACGACATCCTACCGTGCTTTTATATAATACAAATTGAAATTGGCTTGAACTACTGTAAAGACCAAAATTTCGTGATTCCAAATTTGAAAATTGATATGAAATTACGAATGATTTCCTTCGATTACGCAAATCGCCACTGAATTAGACTATAATATGAACATAAATACCAAACCAATTTTGTTTTATTTTTAATTATAGAGGTCCTTAACGATGCAATCTTCGACGAAGATCATGACGAAATGGTTGTGGTAAAGGACATCGAAATGTTCTCGATGTGCGAACATCACCTGGTTCCTTTTTACGGCAAAGTATCCATAGGATACTTGCCGTGTGGAAAGGTATTAGGTTTAAGTAAACTAGCTCGAATTGTCGAGATTTATTCGAGAAGATTACAAGTTCAAGAAAGGTTAACCAAACAAATTGCCCATGCAGTTACCAAGGCTGTTCAACCTGCTGGAGTTGCAGTTGTCGTGGAAGCAGTGTAGGTATAAGTAAAAAAAAAACATAAAAAGAAAAAATCGTGCCTAATAAAACCCGATTTTGCTTTGAAAATACCAATGGCGTACATATGTACACGGCTGAAAAAAAAATAACAATATAAGAAATGAAACTTTTAAAAAAAATCCAACACCATAACAAACAAATAAAATAGATAAAGGCAAGAAAAGTCTCTAATAAGTAAATACTAAACAAATTTTTATTTTCTAAGTGACTTTTTCGAAATGTGGTGTTACTGGCGAATGATGAGAATACCGTGGATAGAGAAGGTTAGAAATGAAGCGGTATTAGAAAGAACAGGAAAACAGAGGACTCTATGGAAGTCAAAATGAGAAGTAGGCGAGATAGGTTGGTAGGACACATTCTCAGGCATGAAGGTCCAGTCAAAGAGACATATTAGAGACAGAAACCAATATTAGGAGGGGTAGAGGTAGACCTACTGTTCGCAAATAGTTAAGGATATGGGTTGTTCTAGTTTTAGGGAAATGCGAAAATTAACTCAGGATGGGAAAGAGTGGAGGTACGTGTCCAACCAGTCTTAGGACTGACGACCTTATGATGATGAAGTGATTTGTGTACATATTTACCTCCACTTCCACAAATGACTACGTCATCATCGATTTTGGGGTTGTCAATCAGAAGAATGATTTAGATACATGCCTCTATTCTTTCCTGTAATTTTATCTAAATATTCGTTAGTCTCTCTATATTCCTATTTCTGCTTCTGATATGTCTCTAACTAGCTCTTCACGTCTGAGTGTCCTATCGACCTATCTCGCCCATTTCTTATTGACTTAAATACATAAATCCCTATCTTCTCCTTTATTTTTAATACCTTCTCATTTCTAAAGCCCAGGGTATTTTCATCATCACTGTATAGTAGACAAAGCCGTTGTATAAGAAACCTTTGTTCAAAAATTCAAGCTTTCTGATACAGCAGATTGGGCTCTTCCTTGGTCGATTCATCAGACTTTGAACCCCCATTTCGTCCGTTTAAGGGTTTAATCTTGAAAATCCCTTTCTTAATACTCGCCTATGTTGTAAGAGGAGTATCGTGTTTCTAGGCCCAAGGGTTTGAGCTATACGCTGATATGAGATCAGTCAGTCGATCATTTTAGCCTTTTGTACATGACGATTACAACTTTGTACTTACGTAGTAGGAAGCTTTTTAAATTTGGGGTTTCGGGAAAAATCGCAAGTGTCAATTTTTAATTATTTCAGGCACATGTGCATGGTCATGAGAGGTGTCCAGAAAATAAACAGCAAAACTGTGACGTCAACAATGCTCGGTGTCTTCAGAGACGATTCGAAAACAAGAGAGGAATTTTTAAATCTCGTCCACAGCAAATAAAAAAATCGAATCAACCGTTTTATTAATGATTATTTTTAGTACTTATCTAATTAATTAAGTTATTATTTTTTTGTTACTAAAATGTCATAGAACGATTGAAAGGAGAAGTCCTACGATCTTTCGTAGTTCTTCCTTATTACGAACCTGTACTTACGATTAGTTAGTTGGTGACCTTCAGGGGCGCAATAAGGGGGAGTCCGCGGGTGCCCTGGCAAGTCAATTCCAATCGATTCACGTAATAACCCAAATTCGGTTCAAATAGTTAAAGCTGGAAAATGAACAACCGAAATGATTTTTAAATTTTAGCCATTTAAATATGAGACCAGCCGAACTCGATTTTTCGATTTTTCCGATGAGCACCTACTTAAAGTTGTTGCGCCCCTCGTGACCTTAATAACAAAGGGATCATAAATTCTATCTATTTTGTTTGATTAGGTATGAAGAAAGTATTATTATTAAAATATCTGTTATAACTTTTAAAATGAATTCGTTTTAAAATGCTAGAAAAATTATTTAAAAAGGCACTAATAATTATAAAAAGGGTCCAAATAAATCTTTTTAGAACTCTTTAAAATCAAGCTGACTTGTTATGGTTCTTGAAATTGAAAGAAGCAAAATAGCATCATTTTGTATTTAATTGTACATTTCAAATCACTTTTGCGCCCAAACTGTTTAGATTAGGCTAGGTTGGGTTAACAACAGCGGTGACTTGATTCAAGTGTATTTTTGTTGATGCTTCTAAATATTTATAGTACGTAAATGCGAATGTCTAGAAAATCACAACCCTATAAACATATCTAAATGTTAAAAATTTGCTTACTACAGGAAGCACTTGTGCATTTGGTTTTATTAATTGTTTCATTGAATTATCATAAGAGTTGTACCAATGGCTAATATCCTTCGAATGTGTAATTTTTTTTGCTTCTTTTTACAGAATATCCGAAGGTAATTTTAGGAATAAATTAATCGGAAATCTGAATATATTTATTTTATTACAATGCTAACGTTCACATTGGGACCAATAATTACAAGTCAGAAAAATCACATCGTAACTGTAATTTATTTTAAATAAGCAATGTCATATTTGCACTAGATATTGCTAGAACTAACATCCAATTTCATTTCCAAAAATGATTTTTCATATTTATTTCCACGTATGCACATCACATATATTTTTAAAATGATTACTTGTCTGCATTGGCGAATTTAACACTTATTTAATTAGTACACCTACGTATATTTATAATGAAATTTTGATTTGTTTCTTACCATGTAAAATTTGTGATGTAAACGAAAACGAAACTAAGCAACAATATATTTTTTAAAATGTTATTTACTTCGTTTAACAGCAGGGTCCACATTTTTTGTACAATCGATTTATTGTNAATATTTATAAATTAACTAAAACAATCAATTGAAATATTTTATTTGTACCCACATTAAAATTACTTTGTTTTTTGCGTTGCCCTCAGTATAGAGGTACATTGTTGTTTGCCGTTTTAAATACGACAATCTCCAATGTTACCCTTAAACCACAAAAAGTGAGATATTACCTAGATCTTGAATAGATGCAGTGGATCGAAATACATAACTTTTAACTTCAATTAATCGAAATTTTGTTGTACAATATTTTAGGGTACCTACACATTGTATACAAAAACCTTAAATTATTCATTTACTTAATATTATTCATATAATTATATTGTTATTTGTTAAATATCTGAGTCTACTGTGTGTGTAAAATTGTCTAAATAAGTATTTGTAGATTGCATGATATGATATAAAACGTTAAAAATACGGTAAAATGTAACGAATATTGTTATTAATTATAATAATTGTTGGTGCATGCAAACTAACAAATTTGTTCTCTACTAATTACAAATATTGGTGAATTTGAAGTTATTCTAAATGTGTGACATGATAGCTGAAATATCATTCGTATCGCCTATACAAATGCTTATTATATTATAATTAATTATAGTGATATTAACAGAGAACCACCCTGTTTATATTTTGTAGGGATGTAAAAATATATTTAAACAAAAAAAGAAAAATAATTACCAAATGTTATAAGTATTGGTTATGCCCGCAGTAATGTGATAAAAAATTATTAAAACATGTTAGGTACTGTAATTTTACTTAATTATTGTTATTTAATTAAGGCACTCTATAATTTTATAAGGATAGTTTTTGGTAGCGAACAAAATGTATTTTTAAGTTCCACTTTTACAAGAGAAATAGCCATAAATATGGAATTCCGATTTGATTAAAATTTGTACTATAAAATAATTATAATTAGTCTATTACCCAATGTAATCGTAATTAGCATAATTCTGTATTAATTGGTGTGATACTGGCCTAAATGTAACCCATACTAACCACTCTCCCTGGATATTGTGCGATGAATAAAAAAAATGCTAAAAATATTGTTTTACTCAAACAAATTCCTACACTTTATTTTGCAAATTGGAAAAAAGTAGCACAAAGGAATAATCGTATAAACCATTTCCATTTTGAACTAAATAAGTGTTCATTTTTCCTACACTTCCTACGTGCTCTTGTGAAAATGTTATATGATAATCATAAAGTCGTCAGACTACTTGTTGGACAGGCACCTACACCCTTTCCTGTGCTAAGCCAATCTTCGCATTTAACTAAAGCAAGCCAGAGTATTCCACAATCTTATTTACTTGCTATGATCTAATTACTCCTATTTTAGCTTCTAATATGATGTTAGTCTTGTTGGACACGCACCTAGTCCCTTTCCTATCCTGAGCCAACCTTCGCATTTCACTAAAGTAAATCCAGAATATCCCACAATTTTATTTACTTGCTAATCGACTGTAGAACTTTCGCTAACACTTTTTACTCCTATTTCTGCTTCTAATATGCTGTTAGTCTTATTGGATACGCACCTACACCCCTTCCTATACTCAGCCAATCTTCACATCCCAGCAAAATAAAACAAGAGCATTCCCCACATTCCTGACTATTTGCTAATCGACCCTAGAACTTTCGCTACTCCTCTTTAATCCTATTTCTCCATCTCATATGTCGTCAGTCTTGTTGGACACGCACCTACACCCCTTCCTGTCTTGAGTCAACCTTCGCATTTCACTAAAGCAAACCAGAGTATTCCACACTCTTATTTACTTGCTAATCGACTCTAGAACTTTCGCTGACCCTCTTTACTCCTATTTCTGTTTTTAATATGTCTCTAATAAGCCACTATTCATATCCCAGAAGATGTTTTATCACCCTTTCTTTCCTTTATCACATTTGCTTGAATAGCGTCTTTTAGTCTCCTACTCCTATTGTATCTACGATATTTTCATTATCCGCCTGTACTTCAATCCAATCTCTAAATTAACCGACCGCAACTCGACCCTACGCTATCCGTCATCATCATCATTATACGGTTCTCAGTTTGTAGACGAGTTGGTCACGCAACTCCATTCCTTTCATCTTCCTGTCCTGAGCCAATCTTCACATGTCCCGAAAACTAAAAATTTCCACATCCCTAATTATATTCTAACAGTATTCCAATATATTTCTGCTTGTAATGTATTTCTGACTCTAGTCCTTGATGTCTCAAGGATGTTCTGTCTATGCAGGTAGCAAAGTTCATGCAACCCTTGAAGTGGAATTCTTCTCTTCTTCTCTGACATTATTTGATGGTGCTTCTGATTGGTCAGCACAGACCATTAAGTGTGCATGAACCAGAATGAGCTACGCACGAAGATCCTTTGCTCTTTGTTTATTTCTTTTAAGAATCAAATTTCCCGTAAGCTTGTCTAACTAATTATATTTTTTTATGGTCCCACCACATCTTTGCTTTTTCTTATTGACTTCCAAATAGCGCCCTTAGAGTCATCATCTCTGAACATTTTCCTATCCGCGGCGAGCAGCTTCACAAGCAGGTTTTCCACTCTGTCTGATATAGTTTGCATGGTCGTCTTTTAAAGTGAAAAGAAGAAAATATTAGATAATGATCTTCATTATTCTTCATTGTCCAAAGAAATGGCAGATAATTTAAGAGAATTTGGTATAAATATTTAAATTATCAGTACCCATGGTGGACCGTTATGATCATCCAAAGACCTTCAGCCCAAAGACTGGTTGAACACACACCTGAACTTCTTCCTATCTTGAGCCAATCTTCGTATTTCTTGAAAATTTGAGCAACCTTTATTTATATATTAATTTAAGTTCTCTATTACTCTTTTAAAAAAACTTTTGGGTGTTTCATTCCCACCAGCCAGTAATGCTAGTGGGCGGGCAGTCCCTCCGGACTACGCCGGAAGGTAGGGCGGAAGGCCCTCTTCAGTCTCCGTTCAGGAATCGTGGCAATGGGTGAGCGGTGGTTCGGATGAGAAATAAGTTGAGACGGACGAAATGAAGACAGAAGAGAATGATAGATTATCTGTGGAATATTACTGCCTCAGCATTTGCCTAAGTGATCCAAGGAAACCACAGAAAAACTTGGACCAAGGCAGACGGACCCGGAATCGAACCGGCATCCTCCCGAGTGTAAAGCAGCTCTAGGCCATGCCCCTCGGTTACTACTACTCTTTTGCATCCTACGAATCTATATATCCCGTCTATTTCTTATCGACTTCCATAAAACCCTATGTTCTCCTACTCTTTTCAATGCCTCCCGATTCCAACTATTTCATCCCCCACCTTCTAATTTCTAAATTAACCGATTACAACTCGACTCTGCACTACCCTTTGTATTTTAATAAATTCCATCCTGACTTATTTAACTTCCGAAATATCGAAGAAATAAGCAACACAAAACAAAAAGTGCGATGGCAAAAGGCTTTTATTGAAAACCATGAGTTGTCAACAACTACATACAGTATTTTAAACAGTTACGAATATGAGGTTTAATATGTTCAGGAACAATTTGAATAATCTTATTTAGGACTAACTTTAAATCGGACGTATCCAACAATTCTTTTTTATTAACAGCAACTTTGAAAATGTTTACTAAATATTTGTTGTTATATTGTATTTCTAACACAATCAGGACAATCTCTGAATAGATAAGTATAAGTTCTATCCAGTAATAGTCATACGACGCTTTTTCTAATTCGGAATAAATCTTTTCAAATCTTGTTTGGATTTCTTGAAGAAGAATGTGTTGAACTGTTCTGTCGTCTTTTAGAATAAAAAATATTTTGCATATTAATCCATGGTTTACCTAAAATGCTAATGTTCGATTTGTTTGTAATTTTTTTCAGTTCGACAAGCTAATACCTTTATTTTTAAGTTAAAATTTTCTTCAATATTGTTTAGCAACATTGTTACAAAATTAATTTTATATGACTGCATTGAAGTAATATTGTTCTTTTGCAAATTATTAATCAGTGAAAATATTACTTTACAATCCTCCACAATTTCATCTTCATTGTGAACCGATTCAAGAATCTTATCAAAAATTTTTTTCGTCACGAGTATTACACACATTTTCATTAATTTCGAAAAATCGGCATTGTTCAAAAATAATTTGACATTATCGATTGTTAAAACGGTATTTTTCAAAATATCCTTTTTAAAAGAATCAATTATTTCTTCCGAAGGAGTGGTAATTAAGGAATCAAAAATTTGACTAGCATTAAAAAAATGTTTGCCAAGAATGCTGTCTATTAGCTGAATAAACTCGAAAAGACATTTATCTCCGCATTCCATTTTTAAGTTTATCAAACAGGAACACTTTTTGATTATAATTTCCTATAAATTTATCAAATGCTAATTTGCTCTTGACTACTGAATGCTATTGAATTTGCCATTTAAAAGTTAAAATAATTTGGCAGCACTGATTTTCCTAGCATGGCGTCTGTGCTTCTTCTTTTTTTTATTATCACATTTCCATGACATTTCCCTTATCTATGATACTTCCTAACCTTAAATTTCTTAACAATTTAGTAAAATTAATACCGTCTTATTATAGCATTTTGTTAAAGAAAATTTAATTTTATTCTCAAATCAATCATGGATTCTCTTTCCGGAGGTCTTACAAGTTCCCAAAAAGACGAATTAATGGATCAAGTAAAGCAGCAAATTGCCGTTGCAAATGCTCAGGAATTGCTGACGGTACAATGATCGTTTTAATTTAGGCCTGAAATTAATTGTATTCTTTTGTAGAAAATGACCGAGAAATGCTTTAAAAAGTGCATAGCAAAACCTGGCACATCATTAGACAGTTCAGAACAGGTAACATTATTATTCAATAACACCCCTTACAAAAATATCTGCCTTTGACATTTATAATAATTTTTACTAATGAATATTTTTAAGAATTAGTTGAATAATATCAAATTTTATAAGTATAACTATGGAAGAATGTTGAGAATGATTTTTTCCTTTATTTTTGTTATTTAAAGAAATTGTGTGTATTTACAGAAATGCATTGCGATGTGCATGGATAGGTACATGGATTCTTGGAATTTAGTTTCCAAAACATACAGTTTACGAATTCAAAAAGAAAGAAGTATAATGTGAATAAAGTAACTGAGTGTAGTTGTAAAATGTAAATTGTATTTTGTACGTAATTGTTTAAGCTATAAAAACATTTGCATGGTCTGATTTGTAAAATAACAGTTGTTATTACATTGTTTTTTATACCCTAATGGGTAATTCATACTGTGTATGTATGTACATACAAAAATAAACACTCATTGCTAGTGTACAATTATTATTTACCTTTAACACGTCCCACCTTATAGAAAATGTTGAGTTGATTAAAAAACACTTTCTGTTTTTATTCGTTTGCTATGACTTAAGTAACCCCTACTTATTAGGCGTTATTAGTTAAAACAAGAGTAAAGCTAGGGTTGATAAGAGTAATAAAATGGTCACCTTAAGAGGGGTCAATTAAAAGTTTATTACTACTTTTAGAAAACATGCCCTCTAAAGGGAAGATCACTATTAGCAACAAGTTGATGACAATTTGTCATACATAAAAAGTGGTTTCTTTATTTTCAGAAATGTGTCGTTATGTGTATGGACAGATACATGGATGCTTGGAATTCAATAGCCAAAACATACACTGCAAGACTTCAAAAAGAAAGAAATAACATTTCAGGGAACTTATAAATCATACTATAAATTATTTATACTCAAAATATTGCAGGTTGTAAGGCACAGAAAAGAAACATCTGCATTGCTAATGTGGTTTATTACAGTTACACAGTACATAGTATTACTTTATCTCTTAACAAAAACAAAAGAGATGTTAATCATTATAATCAATCATTTTCTCTTGGAAGTGAATCTTCATTAAGGTCCTTTGATTCATCACTTTGTGAGGACTTACTAACACAAGATAATGTTTTAATTTCCTCTTTTGTATCTATACTTGTGGCATCTCTACCCTCTACACTTTTATTTTCAGAAGAATTAACTAAAGAAACACTCACTGATTCATCTAAAGTGCTGTCATCAAAAGACAAAAGTTTATCAACTTCCTTTGAATTTACTTTATCCTTTCCTATATTATACATTGAAGGGAGTAGAGGTGATTCACTGCATTTCGTTTTATTTATTTGCAAGGGATGTAGATCAATTAAAGAATTACTGTTACATTTTGATCTACTATTTTCTGATTTGCTACTTTCTGGTCTTTCTTCGTTCGATTCTGGTGAACTGTTGCTCTTGTCTGTTACTGTTTGTTGATTACTACATTCTGTATAAATAGAGTAGTCGCTTTTAATGGTGTCATTGCTTGAGATTTTATTTAATGTAGGCATTATGTCTGGTGTCTTTTGAGTTTCTACTACATGACTGCTTGAACTGGAATTATTTACAGTACTTATACTGGGTGAATTGACACTATATGTCGTATTTAAAGAACTATTGGTCCCCAAATTATTTGTTGTTGGGCTTAAATCAGTAATGGAAGATGAGCTATTATTTGGCTGGTGAGATTTACTATTTACTTCAGATACGTCACTAAGACAATTGAGGTCACCTTTTATGGGCAACTTGGAATGAGTATTTGCTGAATTAATAGTATTAACCAGCTGCCATAGTAATGGATGACTAGAATCATCAGTTAAAACATTCAGTTTTTCTATAATATCACGCCTACCCCCATAATTGTAACATTTATCTGCATATGTTTCTACATTGTAAACAGACAATGTAAAGTCAAGATTAAAGAATTCTAAAAACTCACGAACTAAACAAAACATAATCTGTCCTTCTGAGGTTCCCAAATATGATTTTACTTTGTGATTTGCAAGTGGTTCCTTGCGTTGTAACTACAACAAAAACAAACTTTACTTTACATTACAAGCAATATCCTAACTGTACCTCTTCATCCTCGTCCAAAGTAAGGAATATACTGGCTCTAAGTTGGGCCTAAAATAAAGTTAAAGTGAAAGGCTGAAAATTGTTACAACTTTTGTAACATACCCTTATTTTTGCTAGACAACCATTCACCTCTAACGTTTGCGATAATAAATCTCGAAATTCCACATCATCGTCAAGAGACATTTTACGGAAATACAAATATTAACACACAAAAACAAAATTTTTCTTAAAAACTGTAAAAATATTCAAATTTGTTGACAACTACCTGACATTCTAACCGCAAAAAAGATTGATGTGTCTATGGTTTATGGATTTATTTATCAGTACTGCCAATCCCTTCAATAAATAATTGTTTTAATTGCTTATAAATTTTTATTATAGGTATAATATAAAACTACGTATTTACACACAAATATCGCAATTATTTTAATACTGTAATAAATAATAAAAATAATATAGTTACTGCAATGTCTTGGTTTCTGTAGAACTATCACTGTGCATTCTATTTCTTACACTTTTTTTGTTTTTCCTAATTATTAGTTTCAGTAGTTTGTAAATTGCTTCAGGCTCAACCATCATGTTCAATAGCTGAATAGATATCCTATAAAATTAAAAATTGTGTTATTTGGTAGATCAATGAAAGGAAAATTAAAAGTGTAACTTACCAAAAAATCACAGGATTAGCCTGTATACCAGCCAATTCAGCAAGTTTTAAAAGCTCATGCTGATTTTTCAATAAATTCTGATTTACAGCAGACATTTCATTTTGTTCCATTTTACTTTAATTTACAATAATTTTAAATTACAATCACTGATTGACATAAACATTAATTTTATTTCTATTAGGTTGGTTGTACATTGATTATGGAAACTTGAATGTGTCTAAAGTATACCCTACCAACAGACTTTCAACATGTATATACATTTAGCCAGAAACAATATTTTTTTTTCTTAATTTAACATTTAAATAAACAGGTTCTAAAGATCATCTATTCTAAATAATCGTTAAAAAGAAAATATATTACCTTTTAAAAATGACCAAAAATATTAAAAATTAATATTAAGTGTAATATTAATGAGAATGTAAATATTTAAAATTATCTAGGACAGGACCCTCCTGCACAGCCTCCAATTGATGGTGGGGCTATATCCCTCATAGTGAAGAATTTTTTTCCATTTGGTCCTGGGCTAAAAAGTATCGAAAGTAATATAATTTCTACTGACATGGGAAATTATACTCATACTTATGATAAGTCACATTACACACTTACCCACGACCTCTTGGCCCACCACCTCCTCCACCTCCACCTCCACCACCACCTCCACCTGAACCTCTGAAACTAGATCCAGAACTTCCGGAACTTCCTGGAAAACCTGAATAATTATCCAAACCAACTAATGACTTGAAACTGAAAGAAAGCAGCGTTAAACTGTGTTTAGGGCTGATTAGGCAGTGATAACTTACAAGAGTACAATAAAAGAGATAGCTCCAAAAAATAAACCAACTAGTTTGTTGATACCCCAAGGTTGAGTCGTTGTAATTGTACCATCTATAATAGAAACAAATTAATACTAAGTAACCATTAGCCTAATATATTTTAGACTTACCTGAATTTATATAAACCATTTTTCATAAATTTAAAAAGACTTGCTACATCACAAAATTGATCAAATTGATAGCACAACTGATGACATCACACCATAGACACCATAGATAGGCACTTGAGTAAGCAAAAAAAAGGGGAAATTTGGCTGCGTTCATTACCTAGTACACGAATTGATCTAAGTAATACGTGATGTGATACAAAGCTAACAGTTTTCTATAAAAATTGTATTACCTACATCTGGAAACTTTTACGAATAATGAAAGAAGCAATCAATCCTTTAAATATTGGTCACAACGTTTATGATCCTCGTAAGAAATATAGCTAAAAATACTACTGACTCAATCTTAGAGAAATCAAAATTTCTGTTGCGAAAACAAATAAAATATATAAAATAATAAAATGCAGTATTTTATTTTTCTTACGTTTAAATGTCTACACATCAATATTACATACAGATTCGTCTTCTGGTATAATTTCATTAGTAAGTTTAATGAAATCGTTCAAGGGGCAAAAGGGTGTGCACCCAGGTATTGTTAATAGTTCTGGAGAGGGATCTCCTTCGTTATCCTGAAAGAGTATTTGCATTCCGTACTCTCCATCAACATAGCGAACTTCAATAATTACTTGGGAACCGTAATTCGGCAATTTATTTGGAAATACTCCCAATGTTCCCAAAATGGAAGCTAAATTGTAATCGTGCGCCGAATATAAAAACAGTTTTCTATTTTGTGGTATTAATGAACCGTTGATTTTGCTCATAGTATCCGCTAAAACCTTTTTAATAAAGAAACCTTAAAGAAATGATAGAACTGATGAAAAATGAAAGTTTCAACTAATGAATTGGTAAATTAAATTTACCTCCTGCTAATTTTGCTAATTCCTTAGTAGCAGTCAGTCTGGCAAAATTCTTTATTGCAAGCTCTTTAAGTGGCTTCTCCCATACGCCAGGAATCCATGAAGGTGGTTCGAAACCCCATTCTTCCTATTTAGATAATTATACTTTTTAGGAGTGATTTTAATTACTTTTTGAATTTGCTACCTGTGTTTTTAATGCGCTGTATATAATTGTAGTTTTCATGATAGTGTCAATTAAATCAAAACCCGTATGCGTTGATAAGTAATTGAAGAGTACTATTTCCTTTATTGTCATGTTTAAATTTTCTACATACTGTCGCGAAAGTATGTTATATTTTGGACAGAAGACGCTAGCTATTCCTAAAACCTAAATTTCTTCTTATTACCAATTAAAATAAAAAGTGGGTCTCACTTTTACTGCCAATGTTCGCGATCCAAAATCGTTTACGAAATATTTTTTTCCCTAAAATATGCGATATTGATTTATTTCCTCATCAATAGGTAGTTAATATTGGATTAAAATGCAATAATAATTAGCCCATAAAAACTACTTTCCAAAAATATGTATCACATTCAGTTCACAATAAAAGGGTGCCATTTTGGTTTCTTTTATCTCAAATGGTAGTTAGCAAAGATAAACATGTTGAAAAAGTAAAGTGGTACCTCATACACTCATCATTACAAGATCATCAGACCGAAAACATGTTGTCACCTCCACTCAATCTCATTTCAGTCAATCATTTCACATCCAGAAAATTAGAACATCACATATCTCAAGCTAATTGCAAGTAGTAATCTAATATAGATCTTCCCCTGCCCCCTCTAAAATGTTTCTAAATAGCTCTTCATATCTCAGAAGGTGTTCTAACATCCTATTTCTCATTCTCCTTAATAACATTCAGAGAGACTTATGATTTGCTACATTTTCATATTCTCCCTTATTTTTAACATATTTTATCCATGGATTTTCTGGTTGAATTACTTGACCCTGTGCTATTCTTGATATTATTATGTCTTTACCGCTTCTTCATCCATCCCTTTAGTTATTTGACTTCCTAAACGAACGATTCATTTTAGTTTTACCTCTCCAATTATATCATAGATGATTGTTTCTGTATTAACAACCAGCAAAATGCAACATTCACAGAATTGATAATTCATAAATGATTGTTGTACAAAATAGATAAACAATAAAAAAGCTATTGGACATTTAAAACGAAAAGTGAGACCCTAATTTCCAGATGATTTTCCTACATGATCTGTTTTCCATGGTTCATAGTTGTATGGTATTGGTTGCCAGTTAAGTTGTGGATCCAATTGTGACTTCTGGTCAGGAGGAAACAAACCTGCTAATGACAATTGTAAGGACATTTTTGTTCTATCAACATCTGTAGTTCGAGCATATAAAATATCTGGATAATAATCTTCCCCCAAAAAGTTATTGTAACGTCGTCGTAGATCCTTTCCTACTTCATACATTCTTTTCTTTCCAATCTAAAAAAAAAGAAGGAATTCAGGAAATTGATATGGTCACATATCACTAGGGATTCTTTCAATTAGTTTATAATATGCGAGAATATATACAGATAATAGTAATAAAATCATTTTAACTATTAAAGTAGGAATGTAAATTGAATTTAACTGTGAGATAAAAAAAATCGAGTGGAATGTTCTAATGATTATAGATATCATAGCTCAGTATTTGGGAGAACACCGATTACATTTCTAGGTCAATTTTGGTTTAAGTTTTATTCTGTAGTTTCCTTGGATCTTCTACTGCATTCGTTCCGTCTGTCTTATTTTTCTTCAGCCAACCATTTCCACAATTTTAAAAAGATCAATGAGAAGAAAACTTTTCGCTCTATCCAGTACTTTTGGTACAATGTACTGTAGTTTGGTGGGACAGCCCAATCACTAGCCTCAGCTGGTGAGGATATAACACATTTGTAAGATTAAGATACCAGAATTGTTCTGAGGACAGAACTTGTAAAATATGAAATCGGGTGTGTACCAAGAACGGTCAAAGATCAGATACGTTATGGGGAACCTGCCTGAAAACTTGAGTATTTGTATTATGAATTTTACTAACGGCATTCTCAAAATAAAGGGGTTGCTGGGCTGTGAGGATGGAATAATGAAGACTATTCGGGCAATATTTTTGTAGATGAGCCCCCAAGAAGTAATACCGAATAATTTTCTTATTTTGCAAAACCACCATAAGGAGAACTTCCTTGCCACCCGCCAGTGTAACTTTATTTACTTCCCTAATCGTTGATAATGGGAATTATTGCTTATTCCAGATAAACGTCACCAAATTATAAAGCAATATCAATCTTTTGAGAGTTCTATTCCCAAGAATAAAAGTCTCGTAGTTATTCATAGAAGTGTGAAAAAATGTATTAAAAAAGGAAACGTTACTATTTAAAGAAAGAGTAATATGCACTACATAGTCACCGTTGGGTACAACAAAGATATGACGGAGTTTTATTACTGCTCATAAATCGCATATTTTTTTACGGTTCTTTGATTAACTGTCTTTGCTAACAATGAAAAAACTTACATTAGTTAATTGACCAACTCCAGGAGGAAAAAATGTATAATTTTTATATGGATCGTTAGGATACGTGGTGGTATCAGCAGTTCTGTCTCCATGACGGTGAATCTATTATTGGAAATTCAAAAATTAACCCTTTTAAAGTAATAACATGAATTTATGTTTTTGTCAGTTGGTGCCCAAATTCAAGTCAGTTCTATTTTTTGTTAACAATAAAAGAGAAAGAGAAAGTATCATAATTATTAGTATAAGGGTACTTACTATGGAATATATTAGCAACGTTTTCAACTTGTTTTAAAAAGCACTTGTTGTGTTATAATTTTCAATTATGCGAATAGAGTTCTTTATGGAGTTAATTGATTATCTTGTAAATATTAAACACTGATTTATGGCTAATTACTGGGCAATTTTCCTTTTTCTTGAATATTGGTATGTACTTGCACCAATATAACATTTTTAAGTCACTTTACGTTTATACATATTTTGATATTAAGAATGAAAGATGATCAATATTCCAACGACTTAAATACGTGTTCTCATAACTCACCACATGTAGAAGAATTAACCCTTCGGAAACGTCGTAATCACTTGATGTTAAAGGTAATGAATAACAAAACAGGATCGGTAAAAGGCAAATAAAATTCAAAGCAACTACATTCGCTGTTTCCATTTCGTACTAAACGCATCCATTTTAAATGCAACGTGTTGATTCTTATATCAATTATAAAATGAGCAGGCGTGATGGTTATTTAATGATTCGACTTTTATTTATCGAACTATTGTTCTCTTATATTAATTGACCAGCTTGCAGTTAAATTACAGTTTTATTATTATTCCCTTTATAATGTATAACATCATTATCATATTATATGGGCTCTGTTACTCATTACTTTGATTACCGTCTCTTTTATTCTAGAAAACACAATAAGTATCTACATTTTCGCAAATGTTTATTTAGCATATGGCATATTTGTATTTTGCGACACCTTGACTTCTTTGGACATAAGTAATTGTTTTGACTTCTTTGGAAATGAGTATCTAATCACTCATAATCGAAGATGCCAAGGTTTGGGGAAACATAAACCACAAACTAAATGAATTTTTATTCCACTTCAACAGCTTGCTGAGGGTTTTGTAAAATGTGATTAAGTATAAACTAGTTGAGTACGACAAAATTTGGGTGATGGAATATTTCTAGTTAATTTTGAGACCAATGTAAAATAGAAACCAATCAAGCAATTGCTGAGGGTTTTGTACAATGTGATTAAGTATAAATTAGTTAAAATTGTTGTATTTTTAATGACCTTTCACCCGTATTCAGGGCATCAACGCGAGCGAAGTGAGAAAGTTTGTACTTCTGCCTCATCGTAAAGAAGGAGACATTTGTCCCAGCGATGTGATGCTGTAACTTTTCTCTCGACGTGTGAAATCGTAGAAATCATAATATATCAGCTAATTATATAATAAAATATGTTTATTTGTTGTTCAATTTTACAAATATTTCAATAATTGACAGTTTCATACGTTACAAGCGGATTCATCTTCGGGGATGATGTCCTGAACGATTTGTACGAATCTATCGAGCGGACAAAAATAATCGCACTTGGGTAATTTCAGTAATTGTAATTCTCCATTTCCTTCGTAATTTTGTAACAAGACCTTAAATCCATAGACACCATTGATTTTACGCAATTCTATAATAATGTGAGAACCGTAGTTGGGAATAATGTCGTTGTAAATGTCCAACGCAGTCAAAATATTCGCAATGTTATACTCATGTGCAGAATACAGGAAAAGCTTCCTATCTTGCGGAGTCAGAGAGTTACTGATTTTTCGAAGGCTGTCTTCTAAAATTTTCTTTATATAGAACCCTAAAAAATTAATAATTATTTAGCTGGATATTCATTTTCATCCATCGCAAAGAGATTTAATTAAGATACGTTGTGGGAATTCCGAGACGTTGCTGATGAACAGTTTTCATATTGATGTGGAAGAAAAACGTTAATATAAAAAAGATATCTGGAAACGCTAAAAATATTAGAGGTTGCGTACTAAGGGAATAAAAAAGTTTAACAGTTTAACAGGGAAATCCCTACAATCACTCAATACGTATAGTAAAAACTGATAGCAAAGACTCATTTATGAGATGTGGTAGTAACCATACCTAAAAAGAGAGGTGCGAATATGTGCGAGACATTTAGAACAATTACCTTAACTTTCTATGAGTCAAAAATCTTACTTAGAATTGTACAGAGAAGGATGGAAAAAAGGGCGGAAAAATAATTAGGGGAAGATCAATTTGGGTTCAGAAGAAAGAGAGGAATGGCGGGTAACAATAAAGAAAAAGATAGAAAACAAAAGAGTGCGTATAGGATTTGTAGATTTAGAAAAAGCTTTTGACAATGTTAAACGGGACGGAATGCTAAATATACTTAAAAAAGTAGGGATGAGTTACAGAGATAGAGGAGTGATACTTTGTATAAAGAGCAACAGGCAGTTATAGAACTAGGGATGCAACGTAGAGAAGTAAATATTAGGAAGGGAGTCGAACAGGGATGCACCTTGTCACCGATACTTTTTAATCTATACATCGAAGACGCGATCAACATCATTAAAGACAGTACAACTACAGGGATAGATTTAGAGGGGCAAAAGATTAGTATGATTAGATTTCCAGATGATATAGTAGTATTAGCATCTAGCAAGGAGAAATAAAATGAAGCAGTATTGACAAAACAGTACTGCATGAAAAAAAAAGAATCTAGGAAGTCAAATAAGTCAGGACGGAAGGAGTAGTAGGAATATAAAGCAAAGTAATTTATAAATTCGAAAAAGATTGTTAAAGATGGAAAAGAAAATGTTAGGAGCGTTCGACATGTTATCGGTGAATGATGAAGATACCGTGGATAAAGAAGGTTAGAAATGAAGAGATATTAGAAAGAATAGGAGAAGACTCTATGGAAGTCAGAGATATATCAGAGGCAGAAACAGGAATTAAGTAGAGTAGAGGTAGACCTAGATTAGATTACTGTTTGCAAATAGTTAAGGATGTGGATTGTTCTAGTTTTTGGGAAATGCCAAGATTAGCTCAGGATAGGAAAGAATAGAGGTACGTGTCCAACCAGTCTCAGGACTGACGTCCTTATGATGATGATGATAAGCGAAGTCTCATATATTCACTATTTGTTGTTGTTATTTATTATTTATTTTTGTTGTAATTTACTAAAATGTTTAATTGATAAACCCACCTGCAGCTAATTTTTTAAGCTCGGTAGTACCGGTTTGCAGTTTGTATTGCTTTATGGTACCCTTTTTAAGTTCAGTATCCAGGTACGGCTTCGCCCATCTGGGTATTGAAAGGCCCCATTCTTCCTTTAAAATAACGTAAGTATATAATTAAAAAATTTTCACAGGATTATTGAGAATTGTATTTAACCTGCTATTATTTGTTAAAGGACATCAGTGTTCAGTAGCAAATATGAAAATTTTTAATCATTTCCTAATAATATTATTCATTTAAAATTAAATTTCCACTTATTATTATTTAAAATTTGGTCTTGACCTTGAAACACAAGATACAAATGGGTACCCGTCTATTAATTTATGTAATAGTCTCAGATAGATAATATCGAAGGAAAAATATTTGCATTACAGTGATTATTGTTCTTTTTTTTCTTTTTATGGTATGAACGTGGTATATAATTGGTTTTAAAGAAGAGAAGAAGACTGAAATTTAATCGAAAAAGTTGTGCTATTAATGCCAAAATGGGGGATGAAAGATATTTCTTCTTTAAAAACAATCTTCAACGTTTCACCCTACGTTGTTGACCTTCCTTAAGACTACAATATAAATAACTAACATGCTTTATTTGTATTAAGGTCTTGAGAAAGAATGGGCTAAATGTCGGCGTTTGTTTTTAAAAAATAAATGACGTTTAACCCCAATTTGGGTTTGATTATGCAATTGATTGGAACTAAGCAAACAAAATTCTTACAAATCCTCTTTGTTAGAATTGTATTTGATAAATTAAGGATTATTAGGTATGACATGGGATAAATCAACATCAGGAGTCTATTTCGTGGAACTTACTTCTGTTTTGAGGGCAAAATATAAACCGTAAATCTGACTTGGATCAGTGACGTTCATTCCAGAATTTTCCGTTAAGTATTTGTAAAAAGGGATATCATCTGAATACAGTTCTGCACCAGGGCCATTGAGGTGTTCACCATACAGCTGAACATATTTTGGACAATTACTAAATTTACTGCCTAAAACCTTTATAATATGTTAATTTTTTATTTAGCTTGACTAAGTTTAGAGTATCGTACGAAGTCATTTTCGATCTTTTCGTAATTGTAAGGAATTGGTATCCAGTTAAGCAAGGACCATATGAGAGGTCCTTTAGGAGGGAAAAGTCCTGCTGATGACAACGCTAACGAAGCTTTAGTTCTGTTAACGTCTGTACTGCGGGCTTCTATAAGGTCAGGAAAGTACAGATCTCCCAAAAAACATCGATACCTCTGTTTTAAGTCTACTCCAACGTTATACATCCTTAATTTTCCTTTCTAACAACAAACAGTTTTTGTTATTTGACATACCACAAATGGCGTGGTGAACGCCATCTGTAGTACGATGCTATATTTTAGGATTACGTATGCTTCAAAATGGACCTTGTTGGAGCATACGTAATCCTTAAATGTAGCATCGTACTACAGATGGCGTTCACCACGCCATTTGTCGTATTTTCTAAAACGTTTTCTAGTTTATATAAAAATCTTTTTCTGTATTTAAAAAAAATTGTCCACTAATACTATTTTTGTATTAAAACGATATTTATTGTTCACTTTTCATTTATGAATAATTCCTTACGTTTGTTAGTTGACCAAGTCCATAAGGGAAAAACGTTTCATTGATGTAAGGATCATTAGGATAAGTTGCTGCATCTCTTGCTCTATAACCATGCCTATGAATCTAAAATGATTCGTTATGTTTTTATGAAAAATAAAGTCATTCTAATAATAAATCACTAATAAAGGATAAGCCGCGGCAAGTAATTAACATACATACAGTTGGTACGGTTCAATTTTCTAGTCAATAACACTATAGTTACTTTATAAGAAGATTAAGAAGGTTTTTGGTAAAGTATCTGTATTAACGAATATTATATAATTGGCCTTGAGAAAACCACATCGTCTGAGGCCGAAACGTTCGGAGATAGTAAATAAGACCTGAATTAATTCAGAGTGGTTTTCTTCTTATCAAATATTGTCAGGGATAATAAAGAACGATTAAGTTCATTTGAATTGTTATTTTGAATTTGGATTTTTTATTAAATCAATATCAATTTTTTTAACGATGTTCGATTAGTAGCTGTGTTATTGTGTGGTAGTTGTATTCATTATAAAAATTTAATAATAAATTAATTTTTGAAAATTGTAGGTTGCATTTGCCCATAAATGACAAAAAGTGTTTTCTTTTTACAAAAACAAATCTTGATTAGCGTTAAATTGGAAGACACAAGAAATAAATTGCTAGTAAATATTTTGTACCTAATACTTATATTCGCACTGTCACTATTTTATTATTAAAAAATTTTAGTTATTAATAAAACCAATGACAGTGTCAATATGGTTGTGCCGAGATGGAAACCGGAACAATAGGGTTTTCAGAAAGGAGTTTCATGTTGTCGCTGTTTAAAGAATTGTTATTCATTTATTTGTTTTAACAAAAATGAAAAGTTTCACAACATTTGAGATTCTTCGGTACACACAACCAACGTATGAGGGTTATATAGGTTTATTATTTATGATCAAATGTACCTTTTTGAAAATAGGGTAACTTTCCGAATTATTAATTATAGTGGTTTCTGGTATACAAGTGAAAATAACCATAGAAAAGAGATGTCAAGTAGCAATTGCAGCGGGCTCTAATAAAGAAAAAGGAATAGCATTACACAAGTTAATGTGTAACAGAAAGAGACGGAGACAAGCAGAATTTGAGCATGTTGCCAACATCGGAAATAAGTTCAACTTACTCTGGAATTTAGAAAAACAAACATGCATGTTTAAAGGTATAATTCCAACCAGGTAGTTACAAAGCTGACCCTTATTTTTTGCAACCCCTAACAGCTGTACCGCTTTGTCTGTACTACTCACGAAGCATTTCCTAACTGAACAAGGGCGTGTTCAAAACGCAGCAAATGACTACAGTCCCAAGTGGAAACAATAAGGAAGATACGTCCATTCTCACAGATAATTTATTGCAAACTTTGCCAAATTTGATCGTCCCAACTATAAGTCATTTTTGCTACAGTTAATTCAACTTTACAAACTATAAAATTATGTTAACTCTTGCCACATTAAAATATAAAAGCGTGATGCTTGACAACTTACCACATTAAGCAGAACTAATTCATCGCATGGTCCGTCCCTACCGTAGGTACTGAACGGAAGCGAAGTGCAAAAAGTATGGAAGAGAAGAGACACAACCACTGCAAAGATTATCATTGTAGAAAACGAATTTTAGATACGATCTCACGGTTTTTATAGCATTACAATTTTTTACGATTTTATCAAAATTTAATTAATGTATAAGATAACAACTGGATTTTCAAAAACATCAATAAAAGTAACTTCTAAAATTATTTTCTTTTTAGAAGGAATTTCACTAGTCATCATTACTCAATTGTTTAATAATTTTGCTATCAGTTTTGGTATTGACGATAAGGGTCTATAAATAATTATTTTTTTGTTTTTAAAGTCTAAATTGTCTTAATATCTTAAATCCTTGTAATATTTCTTGTAGAAATTCTAATTGAGTGTATGGTGCTTAGGGAAACAACAATTTCACAATCTTAGAAATCGATCAAGTTCAAGTAATGTGTGCATTTTAGGGCTAATTCAGACACGGCAGAAATCGCCTGCGTCCTCCTGTTCGTTCACACTTATCTGTACGGTTCGTCAATCCGCACATCTGCATCCGTCCGCGTTCTGGGTTTGTGTCACCACGATTCAAACTGTTGAAGAATTTGATTCAAAATCCATTTAATTTGCGATATCAAGCTTTTTCTAAATCTACAAATCCTATGCACGCACTCATTCCTTTTTCTATTGTTTTCTCTATTGTTACCTGTAAAGGATTGTTAAAGGTGTATGTTTGGAGCACGGCGCTGTATGTATGCGAAACCTGGACGATGAGCGCGGCGGAAAAGAAAAGGCTAGAATCGTTCAAAATGAGGTGTGACATGCGAACGATGAGGATACGTTGGATAGACAAAGTAAGAAAAAAAAGCTTTTGGTGTTCCATTCCCACCAGCCAGTAATGCTGGTGGGCGGGCAGTCCCTCCGGACTATGCCGTAAGGTAGGGCGGAAGGCCCTCTTCAGCCTGCTTTCAGGAATCGTGGGAATGGGTGGGTTGGTGGTTCGGGTGAGAAAGATGAGACGGACGAAATGAAGACAGAAGAGAATGAAAGATTATCTGTGGAATATTACTGCCTCAGCATTTGCCTAAGTGATCCAAGGAAACCACAGAAAAACTTGGACCAAAGCAGACGGACCCGGAATCGAACCGGCGTCCTCCCGAATGCTAAGCAATGGTCTAGACCTCTAGGCCATGCCGCTCGGTCAAAGTTAGAAATGAAGGGTAGGAAAGAGTACAGGTGCGTGTCCAACCAGTCTTGGGACTGATGACCTTATGATGATGATGACCTGATATTGCCTTCTCCCTTTTTTATGTTATAATAAGAAGCATATTGCTTCTTCGGCTACCATTTTTTGAAATAGGGCGAATGCGTATAGGTAACTTCGCCCTTCTACACATCTGTACCCCTACAACACGCTGTGAACGCTGCAGGTATATTTTCCGTGGTTGACATCGCGCGGTCGTAAACGCGAGATTTCCGCCGCGTCTGAACTAAGCCTGAGGAAGTTTTCCGTAACAATTAATTATTACGGAAAGAGTAAAAACCAAAAGCGGCACTTTGATGAAGAAAGATTTGTGGGCCAAATCATCATTAAGTAGGGTACCTTTATTTTGTTTGACCAGTACCAACTTATCACCTACGATAATTAAACACATTGCTACGATACATTGACAGACTAAATTTAAAAACATGCATTTTCCGATCTATTAACACATTTTGAAATTACACATTTCTTCAGGTTTTTTCCCAAAACATATAGTATGGATTATTGGTTGATTTAACTGTTGTCGGATTCTTCCTGTAATAAAAAATGGGATACAATAATGAATAAGGAAACGGTTTTGAGTGTTCCAATGTTCAATGAGTCGAGTATGTCACTGTAGGAACAAGTTACTCTTTACAAGAAAAAACTACCCGAAACATATGCTTTAATGTATTAATTTCAGAAACACTCTATAGTTTATTGTTCTTCTGTTTTGTGTTACCTTTTTGCGAAATATTCGAAAAATTAAAGTTTTGTAGATTTCGATGACAAAAGATGCTTCAGTTCTTGTTGTTTCTTAACCAAAACTACCTACATTTTCTATATCTGTCCATTAACCAAGTTTATTAATAGGTTATTAGGTTAAAAATTAAAAGGAATACTCACCCCCTAATTACCACAAATAATTTTATTTGAGCGGACACGTGTTTCGCCCACTTCATACGTGGGCATAATCAACGCGAGAGTCTCGAATAAAATTATTTGTGGTAATTAGGGGTGAGTATTCCTTTTAATTTTTAATTAATATTTACCACAGTCTCCTCTTTCTATTTTTTTAGGTTACTAGGTAATTATTGATATGTTTTGCTTTTTGTTTGGATTAAAATTCGAAATACTTTTGCTGTTCATATTTCTTGCGTATGGTTTTATGACAACCAATAAAACAATAGGTTATTAATATCTAAATATGTGGGCCATTATTATTTGCAGTCAGTAAAGCGGAAAGTGAGTGTTAAGGTTTTTCAATTTACTTAATCGATTAATAACAACTCATTGTTGAAGTTGGCAATTGGAAATATAGGGTACCGACATTGCTGATATTTGCAGGAGGTTAAAATTACTTTATTTCCTTCCTTCCAGTATTTTATAGCCGACTTCGCCTTTCTAAACTGACCCAAGTTTCAACATCCTAGTCACATAAGCACACTAGGATTGTTTTACCATTTGAAAATCCTATCTAATATTATTTTTTGTTTGTTTGCTACCATTTTACGACTTAACTACTAAACCGATCATTATGAAATTTTGTACACACATTGTTAGGGATACAGAAAAGGACATAGGGTACCTTTTATCTAGGACATCAACGCGAGCTAAGCCGCGAGGAAAAACAAGTTCACATAAACAATATATATGTGAAAATTGTTGTGTGAAGAGTAAATATGTAACTGTTTGCATTTGGTTTGCTTATCCTGCCTATCCCACAGAAAGCGGGAATATATTGACGCTTATTATGTGAAGCATAACTTTAAACGATAGCGCAAAAGTGAATTTTATTACTGATACCGATAGTCACTAATACTATCGATTAAAAACGATCTAGACACGTGTATCAGATCGTGATGGAGGCGTGCTTTTTTAAATATCATTATATACTTAAAATAATAATAGCATTGAGCAATAACTAATAAATAATTTTTTTGAGTGCTTGTTTTGTAATTGAGACTGATGGGTGTGTCTGATAAAGGCTTTCCGTAATCGTTATTTTATTATCTAGTAATTCCTTTACATCACGCGTACAGGTAAAACGTTTTTAGAGAAAATGTGTATTTCACAATTAATAACGTCCTAAAACAAAGAACGGCTAACTGTCATTTCATATCCTGAATATTCACGTAGGAGTAGATGCATAAGTAAGATCACATTGAAAGCTATGTTGGAAATCCCTCGTCATGAGTTCGCCTCTGTCCAGCAGCAATAAGGGGTCTAGACCATTGCTCAGCATTCGGGAGGACGCCGGTTCGATTCCGGGTCCGTCTGCCTTGATCCAAGTTTTTCTGTGGTTTCCTCGGATCACTTAGGCAAATGCTGGGGCAGTAATATTCCACAGATAATCTTTCATTCTCATCTGTCTTCATTTCGTCCGTCTCATCTTTCTCACCCGAACCACCAACCCACCCATTCCCACGATTCCTGAAAGCAGGCTGAAGAGGGCCTTCCGCCCTACCTTACGGCATAGTCCGGAGGGACTGCCCGCCCACCAGCATTACTGGCTGGTGGGAATGAAACACCCAAAGAGCTCCATGTCATTGGTGTATACCTATGAGGAGTTGGACTTCATTCGGTTGATTCACACTGAGGTCTTTTATCAGCAGCCTTCGCCCAGAAGGCGTTGTTACAGAACAACTATGATTAGTGGAGAAAATATGGAGACTGAGGATTTCACCCTGGAGTACACCTCTTGAGACCGCCACAGGGATGGCAGCACCGGTGTTTGTCTTGATCACCATGTCATAGCTTCTCAGAATGTCAAAGAAACTTAGCGTTAAGACCATTTTGTTTCGAGTTGTTCCATAAAATGGTCAACTAAGTCGAAAGTCGGTTTTGAAGTCAACGAAAATGCTGAATACTTGTGGGCTCAGCATAATATCGGAAAACTTTTGCAAGATAGTGAATCCTAATTGGAGAGAAGGTGCCCCTGTACGAACTGATCACTGGCCAGAAATTATGCACACAATTTCTGAGCTTCAGATTTGAATTTTATGTCAATGAACTAGCATTCTCGGTATCGAAAACTTACTGCCTCAGATTTACGCATCTTTTTTAGAACTATCCGCTTATGCTACGTTATCAAAATTCATTTATATCTTTCCGACTCTTCTAAGCTACTGCTTAAACTGTATAAACTAGTATTGATATTAAATGGAGTAAAATTTATTTCTTTGCTGTTTGAATTGAGAGGAATCACAATGAAATTGAAGGTAGGTTTATTTATTTTGAACTGATCAAATCGTTCAGCAAAGCCATTCTTCCTTGTTTGTTTGTTATTGTGAAGCAACCATTAGTGTCAATAGAAGTACTGTTTCCATCTCAATGATTCCTTAAGGTTTGGAAATGAAGTAATGTCTCCATCTCCATATCTTCTGTCAAGAGAAGCAATTTCTTTCTAAAACCAACTACTTCTGCCAGTGATAATAATGCAGAGTTTTCTTTTCCTTGTAGCTTTATATTTAGTTCGTTGAGATGCATTGTAACGTCACCTGTTTCTTGAAAGAGACCTACTATCATATGCCAGTGAGGTTGAATTTTAACCTCGTATAACTTTTAAACATGTTGAATCATTTTAGACCTTTTTTGTAGATCGTTCAATTCCCTACATGAATATATATTGACTTTCGTTAAAACGCAATCAAATTCCAAAATAGAAAAATTTTCCCATGTTATTTAAATGGGAAATCAAAAATCACGATGAGACACCTCTTAACATTAAAATTAAGAGCTGCCCTTTTCAAAGGCTCTTTTTTTTTGGCATTTTGAACAGTATTTCAATGGTAACAGAAGAAAAAAAATTAAAAGTTTTTTTGACCCAGCATTATCTAGATAGAGTATATAATTTTTACATTCGAATACTTCTGTTGTTGAGACCAGAAATAAAATTGTAAAGATGTGTTGATTCGTTTATAAAAAATAATTTAAAAAAATGCACACGTGTGTCTCATCTCATTAATATTTAAGGAATTCCTTTGTTAGAGGATTATTATCTCCTCAAAAAAACAACGTTTGNTAAAGACAGTACAACTGTAGGGATAGATATACAGGGGCAAAAGATTAGTATGCTTAGATTTGCAGATTATATAGCAGTATTAGCATTTAGCAGAGAGGACTAGTTACTCTGCCTTAATAGCCGATTATTAGTACGTAAGAACTGAAAATTTGTGTCTGAATTGTGTGTAAAGAAGCCAGTCAGGACAATCAAAATTCTTTTTTCTATTTCCTTGTGGAACACTATGATGTTGTTGTACGTTTTAAGTATTTTAATTTATGCAGCTTTATCTCACGAGGTCAGTTATGAAAATTACAAAGTTTACAAGCTGTACCTCGAAGACAATACAGCAAAGGAGAACTTTTTGTTAATACACAAACGAATGCAGACGTAAGTGTTAAATAATTTTCATATTTTCAAAAAAATAACAAAAACCGGCAGTGTCAGGTAATTTTTTCAGAAAGAAAAGTGAAAAAAACAAATACCATTACTAATAATTCAATAAGTATATCAAAAAAAACTACCTAATAGTAATTGGTAATTAATATTGTGTGGAAATAGGTCGTTTGTCCTAATTTGTGTTATTTATTAATTACTGTACTAAATTATTTCTTATTTCCATATAGTTCTTGTAGTTGCTTTTTCTTATTTTCTATTTATGTGAAACTAACAACCTACATTTTGCGATACCTAAAAAGACCCTTGCCCCTACACAGCTTGATTTTCACCTTTATAATTTAAAAACATACACTTTTTTGTAATTTTGTCTAGATAACGTTATCATTATTTTAATTAGCCTCAATAATACTGTTAAGGAATATCAGATTTTATTGATTTTGCACATACTATCATGAATTAAATAAAAAATTAGCAACAATAAATACTTCATTACTTAGATACGTCATTAAAAATTAAAATGCAATTTCTTTAACTGTGCAGTTGGATATATGGGGGGAAAACCACGTTACCCGTACACTTGATGTTATGGTTAGTCCGAAAGAAGAAAAAAATTTACCGAGCTTCTTAAAATGCATGGAATATCCCAAGAAATAGCTGTAAATAATGTAGAAAGGTGACATTACTTTCATGTTATTCTTCAAAAACAGAAAATTATGAAAGTTGAAACACACAGATAATTTTTATTGATCCAAGTTTTTCTGTNAAGAATTTATTTATAAATAAATAATAATAAGGTAATGGCAATATTTTACATTAGTAACAAGAATTTTTGATAAGCTTAAAGTACAATCAAGTGAGTAGACAGGAGTCAAATCTGTAAAAAAAATTTAAAAATGTTTGAACGCTTGATAATGTTTCAGAAAAAATTATCATAAAACTCTACTGATTAACCACCAGTCTTTTTCAAGAGTACATAAGTACATAGAGGAAACTGTATACTTTCATGACAAAGCTTTCTAAAATTTCTTTTCTAATGCTTATATACAAAAATAAAGTTGTCAAACAAATTTTAGAATTTTGAACGATTCGTCATCACAAGCGGAAACGCGCAGTGGAGACTTCAACTGGACTTCTTATCATAACTATGATGTTGTAAGTAATATTTCTCACTATTTTAATTTTGCTCTTTTAAATTAAAATCAAGTGTAATTAGGTTTATGCCTGGCTTGACTCTTTGGCCGAACTTTACCCGAAGAATGTGACCACTTTCATTGCTGGTTACTCCCATCTTGGGCTTCCACTTAAAGGAATTAGAATCCAATTAAAAGAAAATGCTACACGAGTAGCTCTTATAGATTCAGGTAAATAACTAAACAATATTCTAATCAACGATCGACTCTACCATAATTTATAATTAATTCCTTTAAGCAATTAACGCAAGGGAATGGATCACCGTTGCTACGTCAACGTATATTGCTAATGAGTTATTGACTACCAAAAATGAGACACTCAAAGCCGCAGCTGCTGAGTTGATCTGGTACATCCTACCAATAATTAACCCAGATGGCTATAATTATACTTTCTTTGTGGTAAAAAATATAATATTGTTTTTGTTGATAACAATTATTTGTACTTCACGGCATCAATTTATTTAACAGTAAAGCGTTTCTGTAAATCATTTTCTATTTTATTTTAATTTGTGTATCGATACGTATTTTAGGATCGATTGCATAGAAAAAATATGCAAGTAAACGACACTGTTGATTGTTCTTCATATACTGGGAGTAATGGTATTGGGACAGATTTAAATCGCAATTTCCCATACCAATGGATGGCAAGCGGCGGTGCCAGCGATTGGCCCTGCTCTAAACAGTACGCTGGCCCTTATCCATTCAGCTCACCCGAAGCCAGAGCCTTTAGGTCTCTCTTGGAAGGAATAGGCGAAAATTTACAGTTTTACCTAACGCTTCATTCTTACGCTCAACTTGTACTTTTTCCGTATGGACACACAGTAGATCCTATAGACAACTACTACGAGCAGGTCAGTATTTAGCAAAAGGTGAGAGTGCAAACATGGTCGGCTTTTACCTAATGGGTAACAAGTCAAATTATGATTGCTAAGGGTATAAAGAGCAACAGGCAGTTATAGAGATGGGGCTGCAACGTAGAGAAGTAAATATTAGGAAGGGAGTCAGACAGGGATGCACACTGTCACCGCATCGAAGACGCGATCAACATCATTAAAGACAGTACAACTGTAGGGATAGATATACAGGGGCAAAAGATTAGTATGCTTAGATTTGCAGATTATATAGCAGTATTAGCATTTAGCAGAGAGGAGTTAGAGATAGCTTTGAATGGAATGGAGGTGGTATTGACAAAACAGTAGTGAATGAAAATAAATAAAAGTAAAACAAAAATACTGGTATGCAAGGGAAGAAAAAGTAGGGAAAGAGCGAATATAAAGATAGGAGAGGAAGAATTAGAAGAAGTGGCCGATTTTAGGTATCTAGGAAGTCAGATAAGTCAGGACGGAAGGAGAAGTAAGGATATAAAGCCGAGGATAGCGCAGGGTCGAGTAGGCTTCAATAAAAAGAAGTCACTCCTATGCTCGCGAACGGTTAATTTAGAAATTCGAAAAAGGTTACTGAAGGTGTATGTTTGGAGCACGGAGTTGTACGGGTGTGGAACATGGACAGTGGGCGCGTCGAAAAAGAAAAGGTTATACGCATTCGAAGTGTGGTGTTACAGGCGAATGATGAGGATAGAGAAGGTTAGAAATGAAGAGGTATTAGAAAGAGTAAAAGAGCAGAGGACTCTATGGAAGTCAATAGGCGAGATAGGTTAGTAGGACACTTTCTCAGGCATGAAGGTCTGGTCAGAGACATATTATAGGCAGAAACGGAAGTTAGGAGGGGTAGACGTAGACCTAGATTAGACTACTGTTCGCAGATAGTTAAGGATGCGGGTTGTTTTAGGTTTAGAGAAATGCAAAAATTAGCTCAGGATAGAAAAGAGTGGAGGTACGTGTCCAACCAGTCTTAGGACTAACGACTTTATGATGATGATGTGATAAGGGTAGTTCTCATTCCATGCAATTAGTAATAAAACAATAAGTAAACAAATAAATAAATGTTTTAGTATGCAGTTGGCAGAATGGTAGCAGATGCTATAGAATCCTATTATGCAACGAAATACGTCGTGGGAAATAAAGCTGAAGCAATATGTACGTAAATTATTTATTTTTTTAATATATATATATATAATTATATTATGTCATTTTTAGATTTTTCGACGGGGGGTAGCGATGACTGGGTAAAATCTGCGTATCAAACTAGACTTGTTTTCTGCTACGAATTAAGAGATACTGGAACATATGGGTTTTTGTTGCCTACTGACCAAATCATTCCTACCGCTCAAGAAGCTTTGGCTTCAATTCCTGTAGTTGTACAACAATTACTAAGATTTGACTCTTTGACAATTACAAAAAATTCAACTTCAAAAAATTAGAGCCAAAATCTACTTCTATTTCTTTCTGATATTATTATGTCGTTTGTAAATAGTAAACAAATAAAAAAAAAAAGTAAAATTGTAATAAAAATTTTCACCCAATTAGGATTATCTTGCGCTTCTATTTAAAAGTTATATGCTCCTGATGCATGCTTTTGTTTTTTTAGAGGCGGGAACTAGATCTTAACTAAATATTAGTATTATTAGTACCATTAGTACCCAATATTTTCTAATTAAAATTACTGGAGAACGTGAGGCCCCTGCAAGAGCAAGGCTCCGGGCGGTTGCTTAACTCGCCACCCCCAAAGGCCGCCCCTGGCATTAGTGCTGATGTTGAGCGTTTGATCTACAAGGGTTTTCACAAGATCGAGCAACAGAATAGAATTCCGCTGCGTTGACTTGAGTCATTTCTTGGTCGTGTAATTTCCGGTTTAGGTGGTCAGGATTGGCCTTTCAAATCATATAATTTAACGCCATTAGACGGTTTATTTAGGGTTTTTCGAAGTCTAAGGTTTATGATAACAAGCCAACGACCACTTAGGCCATAGTATAAAGATGGTATACAGTAGGTCCACTCTTTTAATCTGCCTAAAATACTGAAAGCTTGTAGGCATAAGCCATCAAAAATTAAGTTTATGTACGCTGAAGTGTGGATTCACGATGATATTCTCTACAACTTATACCTGCTTAGTGGGGATCTCGTAGATGAAATGGTGAAGTTTCGACAGAAGAGAAATGTATGGGTGTGACTGGAAAGTGAACCTACTGTATAGAATCTTTATATAGTCGAGACGTTCAAAATTGGCAACTCACGACAGACTTTGTAGGGAATATCGTAAACATAGAAAAGAGATGCCAGATAGGAATTGCAGCGGACCCTAATAAGGAAAAAGGAATAACATTACACCGATTGATGTGTAACAGGAAGAGATGCAGAAAAGCAGAAATTGAGCATGTTACCAGTATCAGACTTTCAACATTCTCAGGAATTTAGGAGAGCAAAGATGTTTGTTTAAAGATATAATACCTAAATAACCTCTAACCGCTGCATCACTTACTATTATTCGGTTTTCTCTTTTAACTTTGTCTGTACTCCTCATGAAGTATTTCTTAACTTAACAAGGACGTGTTTAAAACGCAGCAAATGACTACAGTCCCATGTGGAAGCAAGAAAGAAGGTACGTCCATTCTCACAGATAATTTATTGTGAATTATGCCAATTTTGATCATACGAACTATACTATGCTCATGCCTGGAGGGTGAACGTTAAGCGCCGTATCAACGAAATTCGACCACATTTTTGCAAAACGGTAATGAAAAATTTTGGCAGAAAATTACAATTTGTTTTCTATCAAATTAACCTATTTGCATGAATTTTGAGACGCCAAAAATATTAATTCTGTATAACGTACATCAATTTACAATTTCACTTACCTCTTAAAAGCGCCGTCGTATCTCTGGTATATTTTGTTGTAAAACAATAACTTTTATGTGTTTTTATTGTAAGAAATCTCTTCATCTCTTCTGTGTTTTATTTTATAATGAAAATGTTTTCTCCTTGATAGTAATATGTATATACTTATTTCGTAAATTGCACGTTTGCACGTTTTAAGTGTTGCACATATTGATTATAGTTATTATGAAATTGTAACCGTGCAAAGCAATAGGAAAAAAGTAATTTTCGTAAAAATTAGACAGAAGCGTAACTTTTCACAGAATCGTCAATTATCCAACACGCGAATAAGCGACAATGCACGTAAAAATTAAATAAAATCATTTTTACTTCTGTTGTTACTAGGTACGATATTAGTACATTTGTATTTGCAGTCTACGCATTTTGATTTATTTTTTTTAAATAATTCGCTCCACTATTAGGTTTTAAGATAATTATAACCAAAATAGCACTATAGTATCTAAGTATATCATACATAAGTAACCTTATTTTGGACACTGGTATCTCATTCCTGTATTGCAAAGGAGATGGCATGGCGATGAAAGATGATTGATGGTTGATTCCATGAGCGTTCGGAATATACTTGGCCCAAAGAGTGGCTGAAAACAGTATTAGGTATACATACTAAATGTAAACCCAACGTCGTCTAAATTTGGATCATCCTCTTAAAGCCATTAGACTGGTTGGACACGCACTTCCACTCCTTCCTATCTTCAGCTAATCTTCGCCTAAATTTTGATACGCTTTTATTCATTACTTTGGTTCAAGAACATCTTTTAACAATTCTTCTGTATCCAGGATTCTAGCATACGTTATTGAATCGTATCAGTTGCAGATTGAGGAACTGGCGATGATATTTTGGATATCCAAACGCGTATTTAATGCTGAAGAGGTTTTTAAACGTTTTTAGATATTCATTATAAACATACACTAGTGGCGAGCTGAGAACTGAACACAAGGATATTCTACTACATGAAAATATCAAAGGGCATCACCCTGTCTTTTGAAAATATGACCTGGTACAGGAAAATTCCTACAAATATCTTCAGTCATCCTCGTCATCATCATAAGGTCATCAATTATAAGAAACGAACCTCCACTTTTTTCTATCCTGAGATAATCTTCGCATTTCCTTAAAACTAGAACAACTCACATACTTAACTATTCGTGAGCGGTAATCTAATCTAGGTCTACCTCTACTTCTCCTAACTCCTGTTTCTGCCTCTGATATGTCTCCTTCGTGAGCAGTAATCTGGTCTAGGTCTACCCCTACTCCTCCTAACTCCTAATATGTCTCTCACTAGCCCTTCATGCATGAGAAGATGTCCACCAACTTATCTCGCTTATTCCTTATTGACTTCCATGGTGACCTCTGTTGTCCTATTAATTCTACTACCTCCTTGTTTCTAACATTCTCTATCCACGGTATTCTCATCACTCAAAGAAAAATACCGATAAATAAATGTGTTTCTATGCTCTATCTATCATAAATTACATAGCTAATTAATAAAAACTTTTAAACGATTTAATTTCAATTAACAATGATAGATTACTATCGGGAAGTTTAAAAGCGATTTTTATATAACATTTATTAAGACGTCTGGGACAAACCTCGATTTTCCGTTTCCATTTGGATCCGGTTTAACTTGATGCAATAAATTAAGATAATTCTTTCGTATTTTAAATAAGAAAATCTAACAATGCAATTGTTGTTTAAATAATTTGTTGTGCAACAACTTGAAAACTATTTAAATGTCAAATACATAAAGATTGCATCAGTTATTCCATACTCTATTTGTACACCGTTTATTGATGTGTGTACTTTATGTTATTATTTCAATTGAATAATGGAAGGTATGGGATATAAATGCATAACGTATCATACATACAAAATCATTTACAACACGACCTGTTTTCTCTCACCATGAAGTCTGTGCCAGTAATAACAGTGTGCCTAAGTTTAACTCTTGTTTTGATACCAGAAGGTGTTGAATGTGGGGAAACATTGACAGTGAACGGCAGTGATCAACTTGCAAAATATAGTGAAGATAATAACGACGAAGAATTAATTCTCCTACATGTTGTAAGTTTTTATAGGAATACGTAAACTTTGTAGAAGTATAAACCACATTGACACAGAAGTACCCTAAATTAGTTCACACCCTTAAAGCTAGGAAAGGTTTAAATCATAATTTAAATATATTAACATACGAGGGTGGATTGATAAGTTTCCGGCCTGACCAAGAAAAACAAGGTTTTTAAAAATTTTTTTTTTTTATTTCTCAACATAATCTCCTCCAAGGCTGATACATTTCTCATAGCGGTGTTCCAGTCTATTAATGCCATCTCTATAGACTGATTCGTCAAGCTCCTCAAAATAACCATTTACAGCTTCGATTACTTCTTCATTGTCCGCAAATCTCTTACCGCCAAGCCATTTTTTGAGATTAGGGAACAGAAAATAGTCACTCGGGGCTAGGTCTGGAGAGTAAGGAGGGTGCGGCATCAATTCAAACTTTAGATCGTTGATTTTAGCCGTCGCAACGATTGACGTGTGCGCTGGTGCGTTATCGTGATGAAACAAGATTTTTTTCTTCGCCAGATGAGGTCGTTTAATTTTCACCTCGTGGCTCAAACGTTGCAATAAGTCTGCGTAGTATTGACCAGTGATAGTATTACCCTTTGCAAGGTAATCAATGTATATAATACCTCTTGCATCCCAAAAAACAGTAGCCATAACCTTGTTCGCCGAAAAAATTGTTTTTGCCTTCTTTGGAGTTGGTTCCCCTGGTCCAATCCACTGTTTAGACTGTTCTTTGGTTTCAGGAGTGTAGTGGTGGACCCACGTTTCGTCAACGGTTACGAATCGACGCAAAAATTCGCTTGGATTACGCTTATACAATGACAAATTTGCGGTAGAAATGTTTTTTCGAATCAATTTTTGGTCGACTGTTAGCAAACGCGGCACCCATCTTGCACAGAGCTTTTCCATATGCAAATGTTGGTGCAAAATATGTTGCACACGTTCATATGACATCTTACAGGTCTCAGCTATCTCACGCACTTTCAATCTGCGGTCTCCCAGCACTATTTGATGAATTTTTTCGATCATATCTGGAGTTGTGACCTCAACGGGGCGTCCTGAGCGAGGCCCATCAGAGGTGCTCACACGACCCTTTTTAAACTCGGAAACCCACTGCTTAACGGTTGAATATGACGGGGAGGATGTCCCCAGTGTTGAGTCCATCTCTTTTTTAATTTCCTTCGGCGTTAACCCCTTCAAATAAAAGTATTTGATGACAGCACGATTTTCCTGCTTTTCCATTTTTACGAAAACCACAGAGGCGTCTTGTTCAGCGTGCTGTCAAACCTACACTAGCAAGGAGATCGGGCTGAAACTATAGCTACAAGCTATCCAAGGATGGTACTATAGAATGTCACCTCAAGGTAGGCCTAGTGGCGTCATCTCTTGGTTAGGCCGGAAACTTATCAATCCACCCTCGTATATAAAAACTGACTTTAGCACATTGTGTGTATGTACTTATTAAGCAAAAAAGTTAAAAGCGGGAGTCGTCCCTTAATGTTCCACTCCTAGAGGTAGAATATTTTCGTCAAATTTAAATGGGACCATCGTTGAAGTAAGATCAATCCAGTAAAAGAAAGAATCACTGGAATTGGTTCACAATCTAAGAAGAAATCGTGCAACACACACACAAAAAAAAATACAATTGCATTGAAAATCTCCCCTTTTCTTTAAGAACTCTTTCCTTCTAAAGCACGTACTTGATTTTATCATCATACAGAAGGAGACTCTCTTAACCATTTAAAATTAGTTTTATAGTTTTATGAGGCCGTCGATGATCCTTGACATGTATTTATGGTATCAACGTGAGTGAAGCAGTGGGTAAAACCTATCACGAAATTTTGTACACATATTGTCAAGGGTACAGAAAAGGACATAGGGTACCTTTAATTAAAAAAAAATACTGTTGCCGAGGTATAGAAATGTCAACTTTATGTAGTCGTCGATGATCTTCTAAAACACGCACTTGATTTTACACAGAAAACCTTTTTCAGTATAAACTTTTTTATCACGTGTGCATATCATGTATTTAAAGATCTCTAAATTTCGTCAACTTATGTATGAAAATTCGATTAAAAACAACCTCGTGCATTTCGAACAATTACCATATTAAATGACATGCGCTTTTATTAAGGATTTATTATATGTAGTAGTACCTAATCGTTTTGAAACCGCAGGCGCAGATAATAAGATGCAGATCTTTGGGTGTAGGATTTATTCATGGTCCAAATTATAATGCATTGGTCAATAATAACTTGCTAAGAAATAGGGTCAACAAAAAATTGGTGTCGAAATGGATTTTGTTGACCTTGTTATGATTTTCGCACTTTTTGTTTGATCGCATGAAAGGTTTTTGAAAAATATAAAAAATAAATTGAAACATTCTAGTTCACCCAATGATATTTTGCTCACATCAGTGTTTTTGGGTTTAGAATTGTAAGCTTTGAGGCTTTGTTTTTTTTGTTGTTATAACATTAAATTTGAAAAGAAGACATGATAAAAAAAGTGATAATGTCAGTTCTTTTAATACAACTACGCATATAATTGATCACTAATTCAAAGAAAAGAAAACACATAATTTTCCAGTAACTCATTTGTATTTACATTGCAATGTTTGGCGGATGTTTTATATAAATCAGATGTCCCATGCAATACTGTTATGAGCAAGTGCGTCAAAGAAGTTGGCGGTATCGATTGCTGCTTGAGGTTTTCGCTAACCACTAGAAAGTTTGTTACAGTACAAAACTTCCAAAAACAGTCCCGTATGAATGACATAAGTTTAGATAGTCTTAGTCATACTTACAAACGTAAATAAAAATTTTGCATTCAGATCCACCGCCATGGAGGAAGAACAAGAGATGTGAAGACGTATCCGCTTGATCCCTACATAAACGAGACATTTTACCCTTACGGTCATTCACAACTTACAAAGGTAAACACTGCGAAAGTCAAACTAACTTATTATTTAGTCTTTTGTAATACTAATTAGGTGTTCTTACGAAGTCTTCATTTAAATAAATGTCGGTAAAGCTCATAATCAATAAGCAATTGATACATTTCTAAATTCTTACTTTTAAGTAGTAATTGATGTTTCCAAAAATGATTAGATATCGACTTATTGTCATATATTCTGCACTTGGCATTGTATTGAACCGTTACTCTTCACAACGAAGTTCATTAATGAACATTATTCTCTTTCCATTCGAATAATATTTTTCTGATATCATCATACAGGAGGAGACACACTAACAGAAATCATCCTACTCTTTAGCATGTTGACTTCTAAAGTTAATGACAAATGCAATACAAAAAATCAAATAAGCTTTAATTCAAAAAGTGGAAGCAACATGATAACACTTTCGTTTCCATACAAACTTCGATCTTCAAGAATTACCTATAGAATACTCCAAATGCTGCCACAAAAATTTATGTTCTAAATTTTTACCAAAGGTTCATATTACTTATTACTTGTTAATTTTAGATTTTCTATTCCAAAATAATTCCGTTTTTATTGTTTTTTATTTTTTAATTTTAAAAATCAGATCAGTTTAATTGTAGAATGGCAGGAGAACACTATATAAAGTTGGATCAGACCTGAGGGACCGATACAACAAGTTTCTGGGAGACGTTTACCATATCAATACCATAGAACCATTTAGTACAGACACTAATAGGACAAAAATGTCGCTTCTTTTAAGTTTGTCAGGATTATACCCTCCATCAGGTACAATACTAGAATGGAACTCAGATCTAAATTGGCAACCAATTCCCTATAATTATGGAAATAACGACGTAAGTTTCTAAAAATAATAACATTTCATTGCTTTGGTCTTTTCCTGCACCTACAGATCATAAAACTGTAAGTTTTACTTGACTGAGTTTTGAAAGTAATTGAAAAATAGCGATTGGGATGATAAAATATGAATGACATCATAGTGAGAGTTTTGGCCTTGCAATGTTGGTCTTGGTATTGTGCATCGCATATCCAGACTGTGTTTATACTAGCAAAACCAAGATCAAGATCGTATATGTAAGTCCAAGACCAAGACTAGAAGTATTTGAGCAATACCAAGATTAAAATAAAAAGAAAACACAGAAATAATTATAAATATATTGATGATGAAATGCTTTCCAGAAAATCTTAATTTTAGGTAGTTGGAGATCCAATATATTTTTGTCCAAAATACAACAAATTATGGAGAAACTACTCTTTAGATGAAGGTTTAGCTTTGTACGAAAACGATTTACAACTTTACGAATATTGTAGTGAATATACCGGTTGGAATATAACGGAACCGGAAAAAATTTATGACCTTTACAAAATTTTAATTTCCGAGGTGAGAATGTAAAGCTGTGATAACGACGGTAACTTTTATGATTGAAACTAAAACATTTCGATTGCCTGTTTTAGTACGAATTCGGTTTGAAGTTACCGGAATGGACAGCTTCAATTTGGAAAAAGCCACTATATGAAGCTGCCGTTAAAAGATTTATTTATAGGACTGGCACTGCTGAATTGAAAAAGCTTTCAGGAGGTACACAGTCATTATTTCAAACTAAATACATACGAGAAACGCTGACTTTACTAATCATTCTTGATATTTTTGGTGAAGACATAAATTTGCATGTCCACCTTTTCTCCTAAATTGTTGAACGTATTTTGGCTTCTTCTATATGTTCATCACGAAAGGATTTAGTGTTTTATATGTCACACTATCTTTTTATTGTGTTTTCCTTTTTAATGAATATGGAACCTCGGCGTTCGTCATTATTTAATTGATTTTATATTAACACAAAATCTGCATTAACATTTATATGGTCGTCGATGATTTTTGATCAAAATGTGAGCAAAGTCATAGGATCCGTTTTCACAAAGAAAAAATACTCTTCCCGAGGGATAGAAAAAATTAGTTTTATGTGGTGGTCGATGATCCTTGACACGTATTTAGGACATTAAAACTTAAGGGAAGCCGCTAGTAAAACCTAGTTATTCCTAAAATCAAAAAATTCTTGGAATTTCGCAAGTCATCGACTCGGAATTTATTTAATTTCATTCTCATAATATCCTACATACGAAGACTTCACAGTAGTTTTCAATTAATGTAATTTTTGTATTCGTTTCTGTAGGGTGGTTCTTGAAGGAATTAGTGGAAAACACTGTAGACAAGATAAATAGAACTTTACGGCCTCCAGACAGGAAAATTTTTCTTTACTCTGGTCATGAAACAAATATTGGTATAATTTTGTGTACATTGGGAATATTTGACAACGAAATACCTGGGTACGGATCTCAAATAATTTTTGAAGTGTATAATATTCAAGGTCAATATGGATTTAAGGTAAATTAATATACAAATACTTACAAATTATAATAATTTAAGTACTAAGTACTAAACAATTTTTAATAAAGAGAAACATACTTTAAATAAAAAAATCCTGCAATCGTGTTTTGTTTGGGATTTGTTTGTGTTTTCTAATTTGATTTTTTCTTCGTTACTATTGGTTTATATATCAGTTTTGGTCATAAAAAGATCTCTTGTCTCTAATCCCTTTTTGGGATGATTCCCTTTATGTCCAAAACGAATCTATAAGGCAATAGGTTGCAAAGAGTTGAAACAAAAGTCCCCAAACTGAACATATAATAGGATTGCTACTTTTAATAAACAAATGACTGTGCAGGTTTGGTATAATGGAAATAGGGATGGTGAAAGTATGGTATTGGTTACGTTACCAGGTTGTGAAGAGTTTTGTCCACTTGAAAAGTTTTTGGAATTGTACAGCGACGTAATACCAAAAGATAGATCGGATTGTGACGATTAATTTTTCTATATTGTAAATTTGTTTTTGTTTTTGAAAAATATACCATTATTTCATTTTTCCAATTCATTATTTTGACTATAAATGCGTGTTGTGTAAGAGAGTTTAAATTGACAAATCATGCCATAAAAGATATGATAATTTTAACAAGATTTAAGCGATAGGTAATGTTTCTTATCAATTTTTCAAATGTATAAAAAATAGACGTCCACTTGAATTGTCAGTCATTAACTTTTATCATTATGCGTTCGGATTTTTTTTTTGTTTTACTGTTATGAAATAATGATAACAGCGATTGTCAAAATTTCTGTTTAATCCATATCGTAAATAGAAGTTATAAAACCTGGCGAGGAAAACGGCATCGTTTCTTGGAATTACCAATTTTTTGAACTTCAAATTTTCTAGTCCCTGACCTTTTTAAAGGTAAAAATTGGAGACTATGGTAAATGACTACTTAAAAAATAAAAAAAAGAGATTCGCTCCAAATTATCACTATAAAATTTGTTAATTAATCAATAGCAATTTTACATCGGCTTTTGTGTCTTTTAAAAATATACCTTGTTAATTTGTCTTTTAATCAATTTATTTGCCACCATTAGGTATTTTTATTGATTTCGAACTATGCAATTCTACTATTGTTGAAAATAAATGATAAGACTCGACTACTAAAGATATCTAAATCTTATTTATTGCGAATTTATCGTATGTCATAAACATTTTAGCTGGGGTTCCGAAAAAGGTAAGTCTACTTTTTATGGTTGAATTTTACTATTTTTTGTTGTGTTATCTATCGAATTACTGGATAATCTTATTGTTAAGTAATTGGTTTTCTTCTGATAAATTATTGCATTAAATGAATTGTAATTGTTTTTCATTTTATTTTTACATTCTTATCTAAATATCACTACTGGATTATTATTCAAATTGCCATAGAAAAAGGAAATTCCAAAAGCCATTTTTCCAGGTTTACAATCATGCCGTATCACACAATATACTTACTTTTATGGTTTGATCATGAACGAAATTTAATGTTTTGTATCGTTTGAAGGTCAAAATTAAATTTCAATAGTGTTAACTACCATTAATTCAATATTTAGCTAATGCTTTTAAACAGTTTTCGAAACATTTATCAAATCATGCAATCTTTTATCTATTTCATGTTTTTCTTTTTGAATCAAACTTATGTTAAAATCGTGAAGATTTCGTTTCAGAATAATCATGGACAAAACTAAAAATTCTTTTGGCCTTTTCTTAATAACAACACTCTTGTATATCGGCTGTTGTGGAGAGTATATTTCAAAATATATCGATGCGTCTGATGGTCTCGTTTTAACTCATGTGGTAAGTAATTGAATGATTTATATTCAATAACAATATCAGATTTAGATTATGTACAAAAATTCAAAGTCATAGAGATAATAAATTAAAATATAATATCAAAACAACAATTAGGTAAATAGCAAAATGATATGGCAAAAAAGATATTCAATGCATTATATTGCACAATTTAAATTTACTATAATCGTCAAGAAGTTTACAATAGACTTAAGAATATATTCTTTTAATTCTCTCTCTCTTTCTAAAGCTAACTTTGTAAAAACTAGTTGAAAACAGATATTGTCCAGCATGAACTGATGCTGCTTTGATTCGAGCCTAAAGGCTGTCGTGTGTTGGAGTTGCTTCTTGAAGTACTTCTACGAACAGATGGATGGGGTAGCAATGGGAATCCCACAAGTCTGGTCATAGTCAATCTCTTCATGGAACAGTTTGAGAAGAAAAGAGTACAAACCAACTTGCTTGCTTTCGATACGTTGGTGACATCTTCGTAATTAGGAGACACGGAATGGAAAAGCTGAACCACTTCCTCCAACAACCCAGTATCCAATTCACCATGGAGACTGAGAAGGACCAACAGTTAGAATTCTTGGACGTACTAGTGAGGAAACGAAACAGTAAATTGGGAAATATAGAAACGGGAAACAGGTGTCTGCACACAAGTCAGAAGTATGGCATCACCAGGATTCTGACTGGAAGAGCTAGAAGGATCTGCGAACTGAAAAATCTTCAAGCGGAATTCGAACACTTAAAGGATCTTCGAGGGGAATGGTTACAAAAAGGACCGCTGAAGAAGCTCTCTACTCGTGCTAGTAAAACGTTAGGAAGCAACTACAACACGACCTTTAGATCGGAATCGGAACAACATCAGTTCACTTACTGGCCGCTAAAGCCTTTATCAATTGTCCAGCATATTGAATAAAGGATCCCTAAGCAAATCATATAAAGTATTTTTTATTTGAAAACGATAGCTTTGTACCACCAACAAATTCGGAAAGGTGTAGGTACATGATAACCAAACAAGTCAATGTGAACTTCTATATTCACAACAATGAACAATTACACAATCATAATCATAATGTAAATATGATGACTTCACTTAAATATTATTTTAAGATACACAGACATGGTGCTAGGACTAGAGCTGAAGAGACGTATCCTAACGATCCTTACGCAAACGAAACGTTTTGGCCTTTTGGATATGAGCAACTAACAAATGTAAGCACTTGATATAGATAAGTAACACATTTGCGCCTTTTAATCAAATATGTTTTTTATTATTCCAATAAAATACATATGTACATAAGGAGGGAAAACTTGGTGAATATCGTCTTGGTATAGATTTGAGAGCCAGATATGGTGGATTCCTAGGGAAAATATTCTATCCCGAAGTTGTAGAGGCTCGTAGCTCCGAGAGCGATAGGACGAAAATGTCTATTTCTCTCAGTTTGGCTGGACTTTTTCCACCCAAAAATGTTTCTATATGGAATAGCGAATTGAATTGGCAACCCATACCTTATTCGTCATACCCAGCCGAAGAAGATCGTGTAGGTCTAATCACTTAAATTAAGTACTTCACTAATTCTTTATCGTAAATTCAATGGATAATGTTAACTGTCATTTAAAAATCAAAGCTTAACTGATTTTCCAAGATATCTACATTGTTTCAAGTACCAAATATTTAACTGTACAAGCCAAATTACTCCAGATTTTAGGCAAACCAAAAAAGTTTTGCCCGCTGTACAAAAAACTCTTGAAGAAGTACAAGAAAGGGGCGGGTGCTGATATATTCAAAGATGACCTAAAACTTTACAAATACCTTTCTAAAGAGACAGGTATGGATGTAGCAAATCCAGATGATGTGTATGATATTCTCAAGATTTTAGCTGTAGAGGTAAATTGATGTTGTTATTATAAGTAGTTGATTGGGGACAACAGCGAAAGGATAAAAAATACAGCATATATTTCAAATTCTTAGGAAGAATGGGGATTGAAATTGCCTAATTGGACGGATTCTGTTTGGAAGGATAAACTCCAAAATGCTGCTGCTAAGAGATTTATTGTTCGTACAGGAACAAAAGAATTAAAACAATTGGCTTCAGGTTACTTTCTTATACCTATGCTTTCTTAATCTTCATTATCGTGAAGTCGTCAGTCTTAAGACTGGTTGGACACGCACTTCCACTTTTCTGAGTTAATCTTCTCATTTCCCTATCATCATCATTCTTAATTTTAAAAATCTAAATCTGTAGTACACTTTTAACTTCGCTTTTGCAAATAAATACGCGTGGATCAATTTAGGAAGACGAAGTCTGCAATAAATTATTAAGACAAAGTAGAGCCATTTTCCAACCATATTTGATGTATCTAGTCTAGTAATTTATTACAAACTTGAACTTCCTAAAATGACTTAAGTAAGTTATTTCTTTAATTTCATATTGGGATATGAGTCATAAAGAGTGCCTTAATAAGGGAGTTTTTATTAGTTGTGATTGATTGTTTGCAGGATTCTTTTTGGAAAAGATTATTAGTGACACTAAAGATAAAATAACGGGAACATTGAAACCTAAAGGTCGTAAAATGTTTTTATATTCAGCCCACGAACAAAACATAGGACATATACTGGCGGGTTTGGGGCTTTTTGATAATGATATTCCCAATTACGGTTCCCACTTATTATTCGAAGTTAGACTGAAAAATGGTACATATGGAATCGAGGTATGCATTTATTTAATCAGAGGTAATTGTGTAATTTGGTTTAAATTGGTTTTAATATATGCTCTTTCAGATTTATTATCAGAATTACAAAGGAAATGATCAGCCGACTCTACTGGTTTTACCAGGCTGCGATTCATTTTGTCCAGTGAATAAATTTGCTGATTTGTTACAAGATGTTCTGCCTACTAACAAAACTAGTTGTACAGCTTAATTAAATAACTATTTATTATGAATATGATGAAAATTTTAACTAATACGTAATTACAATGTATTTCAACTTGTCATTATAGTCTTTTCACACAATATTATCTTTCTACAGTAGATATTAAGAGAAAGAACAACATCTTTGTTCATAATTCAAAATTTTGTTTTATCAGTATCTAATTCCAACTTAAGAACACTCTGTATATTAGAAAATATCAGTGGCTGAATTGAACTAGGAATAGTGAGCTTCAACTGTCAGATCATATGGTTTTAAGGTTATATTATTGTTTTTAAAAAAGAATAAGTTGAATAATTTGTTAATATTTAGTTGTATAAGTAACTTATACCATGGTGTACATACATTTTCCTGCTAATTTTACTGAAGAAGAGCTTATGCTTCAAGCAAAGTATCAGAAACTGAAGAAAAAGGTAGACAATTTAATCAATTTAAATGTCAATTTTGAAGATCTGTTTCTATGTACAGAAAAAGGCTTTACAAGCATTAAAAGCACCTAAACCAGAACCAGAAAAGCCTATATTACCTAAACGCCCTGCAGAAGCTAGAGATGCCAGGGAAGTTGCAAAGAAATTGATAAAATCTGGAGCCATTAGTGCGATACAGAAGGTTGAGAAAAGACCAGAACAGGCTTATAAGAGACCAAGAGGTAAACATAATTATTATTTTAATAATAATCATCTTCTCTCTCTACAATTGTATAGTAGTATTAGTAGATATTTAATTCAAAACGGTTTTACATCATTAAGGATTGGAAAGGAAACTTATATCTGAAAAAACAGTGAGTGGTTATCAGCCATTCTCAGCTGTCCAAGCCGACGATGGTCCTGACAATCCAGGGAATCAACCACCCAGGATTAAAAATTTGTATGACACTTTTGCAAACCAGAGAGACCGAGAAGAGAGGGGTTTAAGCGAGAAGCAACAAAGAGAAAAGGCTGATAAGCCTAGACAAGGAAACACAATTTACGTTTCTGGATATAAAATTACCGAAGAATTTCTCAAAAAACATTTTGCTACAGTTGGAAATATTGTTAATATTTCAATGGAAATAGAAAAACAGTGAGTTTAATCAACTCGTTATTAATATGTGTTTACTAATGAATTGTTTGTGGTTGTTTCAGTCGTGGATTTGTCACTTTTGATAAGGTGGAGTGTGCAGAAAGAGCTATTGCAGAGGTAATTAATAAATAATTTCATTTGCATAAATTATTTTTTAATTATTTTGTACATTCCAGATGGATGGCAGTATGGTATCCGGTATACAACTAAAAGTTTCTTTAGCTAGAAGACAACCTCAAATAGAGCCCATAAATGATGTCACTTCATCATCAACTTGGTCTACATTGGGTAATTAGAGTATAACTTATCTTTTTTATTATGGCTTAATTGCATTTTCAATTTTTTTTCCTTTAGCTGCAAGTCATTCCCAAAAAGGAAGTCACAAGGATAAAAGGGATTTGGTCTCTTATGATGATATGCTTGATTAATTAATGTAATTTATGATGTTAAAGTATTGACGTGTATTTTAAGGAATGTAATATTTATATTCAATAAAATCAAATAAAATATATGCACATTAGTTTCATTGTAAATCATTTATCTTAACCAATTTGAAGAATAGATAGAAGGTAAAATATGTATGTAAAGGTTGTAAGCTACAAATAAACATTTTTTTGAAAGATTTTTTTGATAAAAGACTAATAATAGCTGCCCTTGTAATGGAAGAATTTCAAAGTTTCAAACTTAAAACCTATTTTTTGGATTAGCATTTAATCAATTGAGTATTTGTAATTCTAATATGCATTTTATTGCTAGTTTCTTTAACAATTAAAATAGATAATGCAGTTTCAGATACTTTCATTCACTTAACTTTTACTCACTTAATAACAATTCAGAAGTAATGTTTGCATATTGAACCACTGCAAAGAGAAATTGTACCTGTTAAAATTGGAAAATTTACTGAAAAAGATTCGAGATTACTAATTTACCAAGACCTGATTTCCATCACCTTGAGGATCGACCATAAAATATGTCACTGAGAATTTCACCTTTTTAGATGACTCCTTCCACCCTCTTCGTCTCGCCGTGTCACATTTTTATCGACCCTCTAACAAATATTACGTCAAATAAGCTAGTTCACCCCCCCTTAAAAGATTACTTGTGATTAATAATAGCAATGAAAATTACATTCTATCGTAATAAAGTACCAAGTTAATAAAAACATTAAAATAAAATTGTAAACGTCACATTGGACCCTCTTTCCCCTTTATCATATATTGCCACGCTAAGCAATATCCCTCTCTCCTTCCTGTATTTGCGAACATATTTTATGAAAAACCCCTTATTTGCTTATACAAAGAAATTAAAATTGGTTTGAGTGGCATAAAGGGCAAAATTTTGAGGGTCCTAGATTGAGGATAGGTCCGTAAGGACCCGCAATTATGGGCCACATCAATTTACCAAAAACATACTTTCATAAACTACTCACCACGTACGACACCCTATTGCGTTTATATTAATTAAACATAAATAGCCTTAAACCAATGTAAAAAGAGAAGGGTTGCTTTAGGAAATTTTAAATAAAATTACAAAGGATCCGAAATTGTGAATCATATACATCAATTTCCCAAAAACACATTTTCCATCAAAACATATGTCACCTTACGACACCCTGGTGCGTCTATACTATACAAATTTCAATTTATTTAAACTAATTTAAGGGGGAAGTTTTACGTATCCAAATTTAAAAATAAGTTAAAAAGGACCCGAAATTGTAAATCTATTTCGATTTCACAAAAGCATATTTCATCAAAAAACGTGCCACCAAATTACGACACCCTTCCGCTTTTATATTACACAAATTAAATTGACTTGAACTAATGTAAAGGGGGAAGCTTTGCATTTCCAAATTTAAAAATAAGTTAAAAAGGACCCGAAATTATAAATCACTTAGTTCAATTTCTCAAAAACATATTGCACCAAAAAACATGCCAGCTACGTACGACACCCTGCTGCTTATATTATACAACTTTAAATCGACTTGAACTGATATAAAAGAGGAAGCTTTACGTTTCCAAATTTAAAAATAAGTTAAAAAGGACCCGAAATTATAAATCACTTAGTTCAATTTCTCAAAAACATATTGTTTCAAAAGACATGCCACCTACTTACGACACCCTGCAGCGTTTATATCATACAAATATAAATTGATTTGAACTGATGTAAAGGGGGAAGTTATGCGTTTCCAAGTTTAAAAATAAATTAAGAAGGACCCAAAATAATACATCACTTAGTTCAATTTCCCAAAAACATGTTTCTTGAAAAATATGCCACCGACTGACTACACCCTGCTACTTTTATATTATACAAATTTAAATCGACTTGAACTGATATAAAATAGGAAGCTTTACGTTTCCAAATTTAAAAATAAGTTAAAAAGGACCCGAAATTATAAATCACTTAGTTCAATTTCTCAAAAACATATTGCTTCAAAAGACATGCCACCTACTTACGACACCCTGCAGCGTTTATATCATACAAATATAAATTGATTTGAACTGATGTAAAGGGGGAAGTTATGCGTTTCCAAGTTTAAAAATAAGTTAAGAAGGACACAAAATTATAAATCACTAAGTTTAATTTCGCAAAAACATATTGCATCAAAAAACATACCACATACATACGACACCCTGCTGCTTTTATTTTATATAAATTTAAATCGACTTGACCTGATATAAAAGAGGAACACATACGTTTCCAAATTTAAAAATAAGTTAGAAAGGACTCGAAATTATAGATCACTAACTTCAATATCCCAAAAACATATTGCATCAAAAGAGATGCTACCTACTTACGACACCCTGCTACGTTTATATCATATGAAAGTAAATTGGCTTCAACCAATGTAAAGAAGGAAGTTTTGCGTTTCCAAATTTGATTTTAAGATAAAAAGGACCCGAAATAATAAATCAAAGATGTTTTCATCAAAATACATGCCATCTATTTACCACATCTTTCCGCGCTTAGATATTATGCAAATTTATATTCGTTTAAACCACTGCATATATAGCGATTTAAAAATTTGAAAATTGGTTCAAAAGGACCCTAATAATGAATCATTTCTTTCGATTTTGTTGAAACACATTTTCCCCAAAACACTTGTGACCTTACGGCATACTTATATCATAAAAATTTAAATTGGTTTGGATCAACGTAAATATCGAAATTTTGCGCGTCCAAATTTGAAAATTTAATTTGTACTCTTGTAGGGAGGTAGCTATTAAACTTTCACTTACTTGATTCATGTCAAATTTGCTTATGTTGCTGATAGTTATAAGTATTCCTTACCTGTAAGAAATAGGTAAAATATCATATAAGCATTACAAAAAGTAGTATTGAAAACTTTAACAGTATTCATTAAAAATTTAACAAACAAAAAATTAAATAATGCCTTAATTGGTTGGCCAGAAAAAAACATTTCTTATCTCTCCTTATACATGTGTACCTTTACAGAAATTACCTGTAGATATTTTCTATTATATTTATTATCACATTACCTTTCGTATATATTTTTCCTCAATTTATACTCCATTCCTGTTAAACAGTGCACACACAATTCTTTTACACTTCACTTTCACCACTTCACTTCACCACACCGTCAGTTTTTTACAATAAATGTAACAAGACTGAAATAATATGAAATAAATCATTGTATTAGTCACTTGGAATTGAAGACCGTAACAACGCCGAAATGTCAGACTGATAAACAATCTACATCTCGATTCTTTGATGTCCATTTGAACTTGCCCACATGGTTTTCGATAGGCATTTTATCAACCAAGGAGTTTTTTTGCTGCTATGTGATTATTTACATGTGAAAAACTGATTGAATAGAAAGCTTTTTGTTGAATGGCATTTTTATTATTCGTATTAGAATTATTGTGTTGTTGTTTATTTATAATAGTTGAAAGGAAAGGAGAAACTCAGAAACTCTCTACTCGTGCTAGTAAAACGTTAGGAAGCAACTACAACACGACCTTTAGATCGGAATCGGAACAACATCAGTTCACTTACTGGCCGCTAAAGCCTTTATCAATTGTCCAGCATATTGAATAAAGGATCCCTAAGCAAATCATATAAAGTATTTTTTATTTGAAAACGATAGCTTTGTACCACCAACAAATTCGGAAAGGTATAGGTACATGATAACCAAACAAGTCAATGTGAACTTCTATATTCACAACAATGAACAATTACACAATCATAATCATAATGTAAATATGATGACTTCACTTAAATATTATTTTAAGATACACAGACATGGTGCTAGGACTAGAGCTGAAGAGACGTATCCTAACGATCCTTACGCAAACGAAACGTTTTGGCCTTTTGGATATGAGCAACTAACAAATGTAAGCACTTGATATAGATAAGTAACACATTTGCGCCTTTTAATCAAATATGTTTTTTATTATTCCAATAAAATACATATGTACATAAGGAGGGAAAACTTGGTGAATATCGTCTTGGTATAGATTTGAGAGCCAGATATGGTGGATTCCTAGGGAAAATATTCTATCCCGAAGTTGTAGAGGCTCGTAGCTCCGAGAGCGATAGGACGAAAATGTCTATTTCTCTCAGTTTGGCTGGACTTTTTCCACCCAAAAATGTTTCTATATGGAATAGCGAATTGAATTGGCAACCCATACCTTATTCGTCATACCCAGCCGAAGAAGATCGTGTAGGTCTAATCACTTAAATTAAGTACTTCACTAAATCTTTATTCAATGGATAATGTTAACTGTCATTTAAAAATCAAAGCTTAACTGATTTTCCAAGATATCTACATTGTTTCAAGTACCAAATATTTAATTGTACAAGCCAAATTACTCCAGATTTTAGGCAAACCAAAAAAGTTTTGCCCGCTGTACAAAAAACTCTTGAAGAAGTACAAGAAAGGGGCGGGTGCTGATATATTCAAAGATGACCTAAAACTTTACAAATACCTTTCTAAAGAGACAGGTATGGATGTAGCAAATCCAGATGATGTGTATGATATTCTCAAGATTTTAGCTGTAGAGGTAAATTGATGTTGTTATTATAAGTAGTTGATTGGGGACAACAGCGAAAGGATAAAAAATACAGCATATATTTCAAATTCTTAGGAAGAATGGGGATTGAAATTGCCTAATTGGACGGATTCTGTTTGGAAGGATAAACTCCAAAATGCTGCTGCTAAGAGATTTATTGTTCGTACAGGAACAAAAGAATTAAAACAATTGGCTTCAGGTTACTTTCTTATACCTATGCTTTCTTAATCTTAATTATCGTGAAGTCGTCAGTCTTAAGACTGGTTGGACACGCACTTCCACTTTTCTGAGTTAATCTTCTCATTTCCCTATCATCATCATTCTTAATTTTAAAAATCTAAATCTGTAGTACACTTTTAACTTCGCTTTTGCAAATAAATACGCGTGGATCAATTTAGGAAGACGAAGTCTGCAATAAATTATTAAGACAAAGTAGAGCCATTTTCCAACCATATTTGATGTATCTAGTCTAGTAATTTATTACAAACTTGAACTTCCTAAAATGACTTAAGTAAGTTATTTCTTTAATTTCATATTGGGATATGAGTCATAAAGAGTGCCTTAATAAGGGAGTTTTTATTAGTTGTGATTGATTGTTTGCAGGATTCTTTTTGGAAAAGATTATTAGTGACACTAAAGATAAAATAACGGGAACATTGAAACCTAAAGGTCGTAAAATGTTTTTATATTCAGCCCACGAACAAAACATAGGACATATACTGGCGGGTTTGGGGCTTTTTGATAATGATATTCCCAATTACGGTTCCCACTTATTATTCGAAGTTAGACTGAAAAATGGTACATATGGAATCGAGGTATGCATTTATTTAATCAGAGGTAATTGTGTAATTTGGTTTAAATTAGTTTTAATATATGCTTTTTCAGATTTATTATCAGAATTACAAAGGAAATGATCAACCGACTCTACTGGTTTTACCAGGCTGCGATTCATTTTGTCCAGTGAATAAATTTGCTGATTTGTTACAAGATGTTCTGCCTACTAACAAAACTAGTTGTACAGCTTAATTAAATAACTATTTATTATGAATATGATGAAAATTTTAACTAATACGTAATTACAATGTATTTCAACTTGTCATTATAGTCTTTT